TCTTGGTCTTTTTTTGTAAAAATTAAGTGATTACTACTGCTATTTCAGAAGATTCGTTCTACTTTTTTTTTAATTAATAATAAGATAGTGGCTACTGATTCTTTGTAGGAATGTTCGTAGTGATTCCAGAAGGTGAAATGACATCAGGCAATGAACTTGTCTTTTTTTTTACACCAAAGGTGTTTTTGGTGGGATATCGAGGAATACTCGAAGAGTGCAGGGGAGACCGAGGTCAAATGTAACACGGGGCAATTGTAACAAACATTATACATTTTATCTTCAAACATGAAAAAACGAATCGAGACAGGGGAAGCTATCCGATAGAGCAACGAACGTCTCACGGTAATTTCCTGCTTGTTAGACCAAGCGTTCCGTTGTTATCGACATTTTTCTTTTTTCGTAAAACGGCGTAGGTGAGTAACATTTTCATGGATTCAATATTTTTAGTTTGTATTAAATTGGCGGGAAATGAAATTGATTTACTTATACTATGGCATTGCATATAGAGTAATTCGTTATATGTTTAATGAATTTAAAGTTAAAATAGCTGCAAGTAGTAACAGACCGCACTCTCGTTCCCCCTAGTGTTACCGGCTACAGGTTGCCCTCATCATGAGAATACTCCTCGACCGGACGGCCGGGGCGGGTCGGGTAGCCCGTCCCGCGTCCCGAGTTGCCGGGTGCGGGTTGGGGTCCGGCCCCACAGGCCGTAATAAGAAGGCCGGCGAGCCAGTAGGGGCCGATGGGTGAAAAATTCTCGATCTGGGACTTCGCCGGGGATTCCCGGCCGCCGGATCGGGCTCTCACTCGTCTATGCCTGGAAAACTCGCCGAACCCACGCTGGAGCATTGCGGCTCAGGATGGGGCCTTGCACGAATGCTCGGACCACGCGGGTGCAGGAGAGGAACCTCTACGGGGTTCCCCGCGGGCAACGGGCGGGGTCAAGCGACCTCCCTTCGGGGAGTGCGTCGCGGAGGCCCCGACCCGGTCAGCGTCTCCCCAGGGTTTGTGACGAACGGGCCGGGGCATTCGGGTTTTTCCGAGCCCGCCCTTTGGAACGGTGGTGATGCTGGACAGTGGTGGGTTTTGCATCTCCCCCTCGGGGGAGCCACTAGGGGATCATTGTCCTAGGTGCGGAGGTGGCTTGCCACCATGCTTACGGACTGTAAGTAATTACAGCCTCCAAAAGGCAACGACGTGGGGTGGGCTCCCACGCGGCCAAGGGCCATCGGTAAACCTCCTCGTGGTGGAGGTGGATGCAAGACCCCAATGGGTCCGAAACGAAACAGCAAATGGCTATTGGGCAGCCGTGAGAGATGCTCGCTCTGCGGAGTTTGACCGCACTCTCGTTCCCCCTAGAGTTACCGGCGACAGGTGGCCCTCATCATGGGAATACCCCTCGACTGGACGGCTGAAGGTGAGCCGGGCATCCGGGTGCGGGTGGGGGGGCCGGTCCCACCGGCCGTAAAAAGAAGGCCGACGAGCTAGTACGGGCCGATAGATGGGGAAACCCGATCCGAATATTCGCTGGATTATCTTGGCTGATGGATCGGATTCCCATCCGACCTAGCCTGGAAAGCTCGTCAAACCACGCTGGAGCATTACGTCTCAGTTGGCGCCTTGCGCGAATGCTCGCACCACGCGGGTGCAGGGGAGGGACCTCACGAGGTTCCCCGCGGGCAACGGGTCGAGGTCTAGCGGCCTCCCTTAGGGGAGTGCGTCGCGGAGGCCCCGGCCCGGCTGGCGCCTCCCCAGGGTTTGAGACGAGCGTCCCGGAGCATTCGGGCTTTTCCAAGCCCTCCGCGGGCGCACGGGCTCCCCTGGTGATAGTGGTTGCTGGTGGTGGACGGGCCTCTTTAACTTCCCAGCAATGGGGAGGCCGGTAGAAGACCTTCGGTCTCAGGTACGGCTGGCGAAAGCCTATAGTTCAGACATGTAAGTAGTTACGATTATATCAATCGTTTGACAGAATACGTTGGGGGCAAGGGGTAACAAGTTACGTTTACTCCAGTCATCTGCATTGTCGAGAAACTCATTGGATAAAATTTGAGGCAGACCTTTTGAACATAAGATCATGCCTTGTATACAAAAATATTCATTAACGGAATGAAAACAAAATACAACAATCTGATATTTAACGTTTAATCTGTATATTGGTTGTAAGTCTGTCAAATCTTATATTCATTTCCGGACGAATCCCAAATAAATACATTCTGTTGTGCTTTTACGTATTTGTCAACTTATCCTTCTTATCCCTACATATTGATTCAATTTTTCTCGGACGAGTGTTACAATCGCACCCTATATCGGTAGCAATTGTGACAAAGACATTCTGTACGGAAAATAAAGTTGCCAATTTTCCATGAACTTTTGAAACGATAAAACTTAACCACCTTTTAGTGGAAGGTTCGTTCAATATATGTACCCAGTTTCAATCGTGAAAATTCGCTTCTGTCAATTACAATATTAAAAATGTCAAAATGTCAAAGTGTAAAAATTGTTACAATTGACCTCGATCTCCTCTACTTTCAATTAACGCAAAAATACACGTTTCGTCTACATTAAATCAACGTTTCTTGTAAACATACGTTTAATGTACAAAAAACCGCGCATGGCTTATTTAATATTATTTACACCTAAGCTGTATTTCCACTGCGTTTGTGTGCCTAAAATGTACATTGCACTGTTTTGTGTTTACTGAGGTATCTCAATTTTACAGCGGGAGAAATTTTGAGAAATATGGATACCAGCGTTTCTCCTTGCGAAAATTTCTACAACTACGCTTGTGGGAAGTATAAAACTCATCTACAGCTGAGTGCCACAACTGGTCATTACGATCACTTCAAAGAGATCGAATCGGTCGTCAATCAACGACTACAAGGTCCTATCTTTCTTTTTGCTCTGTCCTATATTTTTTATTATTCTAAATTAAATATAAAATTTGCACATCCTATCAAGTAATAGAAACAAATTAATGAAGAATTATTCATTCATATTTCAGACATCATTTCTGAACCAATTTCTGGCAACGACATGGAATCTTTGAAAAAAGCAAAGATAGCTTTCCGAGCTTGCATGAATCCAGGTATTAACGCTCTGAACTCTTCGGCGAGACAAATTGTTAGTACAGAAATAATATTGCACCTGAAAGGGTTTGAATTTCCATGGAACTAGAACAAAATGACTCATCACCTAAAGATACATTTGACGACAAAAAATCCCGTTTATTTCAAAGGTACCTCTCTTAAGGTGATATGAAATGGACGTTCTATATATATAAAACGTAAAAATATTTATAAAACGTTTTTCCAAACTGGATGCACCGAATGATTTGAAAATTGAACGCGTGATCATGGAGGTCCTAATGAAGATCTTGAAACTCACGAAATTTCATTTTTTGAAAGAAATTTTCTTTTTTAATCATTGTCCGGGATAAATAGATTTCTTTTTCGAGTTTCAAGGCCTTCATTAAGACCTCCACAATTCGTGTTAAGGTTTGAAATTGTTCGATGCACCCAGTTTGGAGAAAGGTTTTATAAATATTTTCGCGTAGTCACGGTTTATACAGCGATATCCTTGTTAAAAAGGGAGTCGAAAAGTCCTATACTATTTTTCCCCCTAGTGCATGCATTTCCTGTAATAACAGCCGCACAATCGCGTTCCCAAACGGCAGGCATAGCGAAGAAGACGCCGGTGTAGGGCTGCGTTCGGCTGTTTGCGGCGTAGCAACCCTTTCCGCTGAGCCTTCCGTTCGAGAACGCGATTGTGCGGCTTTGCTTCGCTTATTCGTTACAGTCAATTTATGCACTGTAGGAAAAAATAGTACAGGACCGTTCGACTCCCTTTTCAACGAGGATAGCGCTATGTAAACCATAACTACGAGTTCTGTCTCATCCTGTATGTACATATATAACACTTTCATAACACCTTAAGTGGCTTCTGAAGCGTTCAAGTATTTATAAAACTTTTCTCTTAACTGGGCGCACCGAATCGTTTGAAACTGTAGCATGTGATTATGGAGATCCTAAACAAGGTCTTAAAGTTCATGAAATTTCATATTCCAAAAAACAATGTTTTATTAATCCTACATTGGAACCAAGAATACATATTTTTATTTTACACCTTTCGAAAGTTTGGAGTCGAAAACGTAAACGCAACAACGTAGAACGCTATAATAATCGTACGATACAGATTTATGCGGGAAATATCAAGAGAAGTTTTATAAACATATGTAGTGAAATTCTCGAATATCCTATGAACAACACGTGTTTTGTAAGCGCACTCGGAGCAAAAATTTAGTTGCAGCTTAACGTCACAGATGGCGCCGTTGGTCCATTAGAGTATAAAAAAATCATGAATCCACGACATTTCGACAGTTTTACGCCAATCTCTTTATCATTACTTTATCGAAATGGCATATGGAACGCTTCTTTTCGTATAATTCTCAACGTAGAGTGTAACAGACTTCAACATAAATATAAATGTCGGTAACGTGACGCGTCAGTTTATGTTACCACTTGAGTATTCTAAATGGCATTACCACCAATAAGAGTATAGGGGAATTTTAATTTATCGACATCGATTACATTTCTCAGCGCCTTTCATATCACCTTAAAAGAACGGATTTTACTTTCAATGCGTTCGAATGTTCTTTTATATTGCTATTTATATAATATATTCGCTTCTCGCGGCGTACAGTTTTGAGTTCGGATCGTAATGGGAAATTTTATTTTTAGGCCGCAATAGCACAGGGTTGACGGAAATGCTATCGATTCTAAGACAGCAAGGAGGATGGCCCATGGCAATGACATTTACAAGAGACTGGAATTCAGTTTCGTGGCATGAAATCGATAAGAAGTATGTCGATCTCGTTGGTGAATCCGCATTTTTTCGTTTTAATGTCGAGCCTGATGACATTTACCCTAAACGAGCCTTGGTGGTAAGTCGAACAATAGATACGTATCAAGCGATATAAACTGAAATAACTTTTTTTTGACAATGAGAAGAGAAGAAAGAAAAAGATACCGATGCATCCTTCTGAAAACCTTCTCTTTGAATGTATCATAGAAATTCACAGAGTATCCAGAATTACATCACTAGCCATTCCCATAATAGCTCAAACCAGGGGTCTCTACTTTGCCGACACGTATACTTCAAAATGCATGGAGCCACTCGGGCAAAATAGAAACCTACCGCAAATTCATCGTTGAAGTTGCCAAGCGATTCGCCGAAGAATTCAACCTTCCCGAAAGGAATATTATGACGGACGTAGAAGATATGTTGGCTTTAGAAACCAAATTAGCACAGGTTAGTACAGATAAGCCGGAAAAGTCTAACCATCGGAAAAACCACGATTCGTAGCAACCATGAAGTAGTATAAGGAGACATACGGCCTATGGTCGGATCCACGGAAAGTGACCTCAGAATCAGGACCCAGGACCTTAGATTTTCACTGATCCAACGATGCGAGCGCTACTTGCGGAAAATGAAGGAACACCGATTTTACGTGACCAAAACATTTCCTACCAACATAAATCACCTAAAATAGTTTTAATTTTGCAATTAAGGTACGCAATGCGAAACGATAATACGCGGATGATATACAGAATGTGACGTTATTAACGTGATAAAGATCAGCGGACACGCTAGCAGACGATAATTTTTAATTGCAAAATTTCATCAAAACGCTCTCGGCACAGGATCAGACTAAATGTGAAGATCTTGGACCCATAAAGTTGGGGGGAAGATTTCAATACATAGCATGGTATCTCCTTACACTACTTCGTGATTATCGTCTCGTGCGCGATGTTCCCAAAGTCGTAATAATTCAAGGGTCTTGCTATACCTTACTCTTCCCTACTTCGTCACACAAATTATACTCGAAATTTCTTTTCCGAAATACTCTTCAGGACTTCATCTTACATTCCGTTTTCGGCAATATCAACTTATCCTCTTGCATTCTAACGGTAGTAATTTTATAGTTGCAAGACACCGCAAAGCAGAGCATGTACAGATTTTCGAAGCGGAAAAGCCTAACCATGTCGGAGTTTGTCCAACGACAAACTAAACCGGGATCAAAGGTGAGATAACATTGAATTGGGAAGAACTAATTAAAGACATATAACATGTAATTAAGCTGATATGAAAGTCGCGTCAAAGAGGTCTCGTTTATGAAACTTTTCTTTGAGCTTGGTGTATCGAAGCGTTTCAAACTTGACAATATGAATATGGAGGCTATAAGAAAGATCCTGATATCCATAAAATATCAATTAAAAAAAAAATTGGTTTATTGATATTTTCACAATTTGTTATAAAAAATGAAATTTCATGAGCACCACGTCCTTCCTTAGGGCCTCCATAATTATGTGCCGAAGTCTCCATCCATTCGGTGCATTCGGTTTGGAGAAATGTTTGATAAATATTTCGACGTTTTATATGTATAGAATGATCTTTCACGTCATCCTAAACTCGCTTCCTGTTCAGATAAATTGGAAGAGCACCATCGAAAGCTTTCTCGCGAAAGCTAATGTCAAATACGATCCTTGGGGGAAGATAATAGTATCCGATACGGCTTATTTTGATTTGTTGGAGGAAATCTTGTCGGAAGAGTCGCCTAGAGTAGTAGGTAATTATTTAATAAAAGGAGGATTTTTCGAATACGTTCGGGAAATTCTTCAAATTACGACAGTTTGTTTGATTCTACACGTCTGTTTGCAGTTAATTACATTCATTGGCAATTCGTTCGTCGTTTTCTGGGAAGTATCAATTCTGAGTTACAGTTTCTCGACCTTCTAATGCGGAGCGAAACATTAAAAAAAAAGGAAGATATATCAGAGTAGGTATTCCTATATCTCGAGTGTATAGGGAAGGTCGAGGTCAATTGTAACAATTTTTACATTTTAAATTCTGTAATTGGCAGGAACGGATTTTCACGATTGAAACTGGGTACATATATTAACCGAACCGTCCACTAAAAGATGGTTTGGGTTTTATCGCTTTAAAAATTTACGGAAAATTGACAACTTTATTTTCCGCGTGGAATGTCTTTGTTACAATTGCTACCGATATAGAGTGTGATTGTAATACTTATCAAAGTAAATATAACGATACTTATTAATTTGAATAATGAAATTACCGTGAGACGTTCATTGCTCTATCGAAAAGCTTTCCCTGTCTCGATTCGTTTTTCCAAGTTTGAAAATAAAATTTATAACGTTCGCTGCAATTGCCCCGTGTCACATTTGACCTCGGTCTCCCCTGCACAAATCCCTCGTAACCAATTACGTGAACAAATTCAGTTTTATTCCAGAGAAATGGAATGCCTAGAGAAGAATCCTGCGCATTTCGCAATTGTTCATCAATATCTGAAGAAACACGTTCCAAAAGAGAGCGAAGACGTCGTACGTTTCCCTTGTAACGCTATAATGTTTAACTAATTCAATATCCTTCGGTTACCTTCGGTTATACCCTTTAAAGAATACAAATTCTAGATACTGTCTCACTTTCTTTTAAAGGTGCGAAAATGGCACTATTCTTGATGAAACAACAATTGAAATATCAAAGAAAATTCCTTCTAATATATTTTCCTTCGTGTTGCGGTAGGTGAAAGAAATGGTTGTAGATGTAAAGAAAATATTGGAACGGCAAGTCGATGGAGCTTCTTGGTTGGACAGAAAAGGGAAACAGGCGTCGAAGATAAAAGTAGAGCGTTTAAAAGGATTTGTCGGGCCTCCTTCGTGGGTACGAAACTCCGTCCTGGTTAATCAATATTATCAAAAGGTACGGAACGGTTTCATTCCTGTCAGTTACTATTTATGTTCAATTTTAACTGGATAAACCGGAACCATTTTATACATTTCTGAGATAGTTAGAAACTGGACACATCCACCTCAGAAACGTCTTCAATGCGAAGATGCAAGCAATACGAAATATGCTCGGTCTGTTGGAGCAGCCAGTAAATCAACCCGAAGATTCAGTCATGTAAGAGAAACATTAAAACCGTAGACTAAGAAAGTAGTCGGTATTGAAGATTTAGAAATACGCGAGTTCCCTGAACAATGCGTCACCTCTCCATTTAAGGTGATGTGAAACTGGCGTCAAGAGTTCCCGTTCATGAACATTTTCTCCAAACTGGGTGTACCGAATCGATTCAAACTTTACAATATAAATTTATATATATATATAAGGTATAAGGAAGATTCCGAAGCTCAGGAAATTTCAATTTTTTTCAACTTGTTGATTGATATTTTTAAAATTTCTTATAAAAAATGAAATTTCATTAGTGTCGGGACCTTCCTTATAGCCTCAACATTCACATTGTAAAGTTTAAAGCGATTCAGCACCCCCAGTTCGGAGAAAAGTTTCATGAACAATTGACTGCATATTCACGCAGTAAAAAGGTGGGACACTTTTAATAACACCGTGCCTCAAAGAGTTAACTCGTGCCGGAACAACTAGCGTTCTAAAATTGCCTGTCAACAAGGTGTTAAGATCATTCAATAATGATATTTAGAAAATTATTAATTGAATTCTACTTTTATTAATTACAGATGGTCCAGAGGAGTTAAAAAAGTGAACGCACATTATAGCCGCAGTCACAACTATTTGTGTGAGTGCCTGGCCCTTGTTAGAACCTCTCAGAAGCTAGAATTGATCATCCGTTACATTTGATTACAGTTTATCATCTGTCGTTATCACATTTTTCTTCAATTTTTAGTAATATCACTAGGAGTGATGCAGCCACCATTTTTTCTTAAAGACGTTCCCGAGTGAGTAGTAATATTCTAATTCTGACAAATATGAAAAATCTGCTCGGCTAATAACTTTACTTAATTAAGAAATATCCAGTTCGGGGCTTACGGTGCAGTTATGGGTCATGAGTTGGCTCACAGTTTCGATAACTTAGGTAAACCCGCTTTAGCCAGATATGCGATTTTCACGGTAACTGGAAAAACTTAAAAAAATATTAATTGTTTTCAGCCCGCGAGATTGCCTTTGATGGCTCGCGTATGCCGTGGTCCAGCAAATCGATTAAAGCATATCGAGAACGAGCACAATGTTGGATCGATCAATTTAACAAGTATCAATTTAAAGACTTGCAAACATTTAATCGAACCGTTTACGTGAGTAGATTCTTCTTGCATTTTTCTAATTATCTATGCACCGAGAGAAAAAGACCTGGTAAATTGAACAATTTGACCCTGCTAAAGCCATTTTTGTTGAAGGAATGCAATTTATCGTTTGATTTACCATAAATTGGTAGCTGCAATTATTTCTTAATAGTTGAGCGTACTACTGGTTTTTGTGTGAATTTTGTAGTAACGAAAACGCTATTTATAGTCAAGTTTTTTACCATTTTGGAATAGTTAGGTTACCTTTTAAATATTGTCAACTCTCATTGCAAGATGTTATTTACTCTACGTTTAGTAACTGCAATAGTATTACCAGTACACCGTTTACCATTGCGGTTTGATTAAATCATCTTCCAATTCGTACCGAACGTTATTAAAAACATCGTTCAAGTTAGCTTCGATAGCACCGATAGATGGCGAAGCTTTCTCGCAAATGATTCGGATCGTTCGTTTACGTATAAAAAAACTACTCCATCCCCAACTAACGCTAAGACTAATGTTATTCTTTCCAAAAAAGTGTAGTAAACGTAGAATGGTACATTTTGCTACTTCCAAAAGGTAAAGAAATATAGTAACCGTTCCTAGATTCCCTAGTCCGGAAAGAAAGTTACTATAAAAGGTATCCGAGTCCTTTTTAAGCTACGAAAACTTGTTAAAAAATAATATATTTAACTAGATTTTTTTCTCTGAGTGTGTTAGTTGTATGCAACACTTTTCTAACTTCTGCTACGTTTATTGTTTGTAAGAGAATTTTTCCAGAGCAACGGTGCAGTAACCGAAAAGGAGAACATGGCTGACACTGTCGGAATGCAACTGACCTACGCCGCTTTCAAAGCCAGAGAGAAGGATTATCAAAAACTGCCTGGTCTGAGCACCTACTCTGACGATCAGTTGTTCTTTTTGTCATTCGCAAATGTAAGTATGCTACATTTCAAAATGACATCTACAAGTATTAAAGCCTCCTTCGGTCCAATCTTTTCCGCACTTTTATAGAGAACTACGCTCGGTTCAAAATCTAGCATACGTGTAGCCCGAGTATTTCAACATACAAATTTCGATCATTTACATACGATTTCCTTTGAGATTTTAATATACACTAAATTTCAAAATCTAGTTTTTAATCATTTCCGATCACTTCCTTTGGGAGAATTCATACGCAATTGTGAAAGACTTTCATAAGACATGTATATAAAAATATCCGATACTTTTTCTACTGATTTTCAATCACGTGCATATACAAAACTGTATGCATTTTGAAAAAAGCACGTCTTAGTAGTGATTCAATAACATTTCAACCGTTTTTTTCTTATCTTATGATCTCGTTCAAAATGTTAAACATGTTTACTCCAATACTCACCAAAAGTAATTTTCTTTGAAATGCAATATACACTTTTCTGATCTTCACTTCAAGTGCCGCCGTTTCTGGTTTAAGTATACATGTCTCTAGTAGCACAGAATAATTTAGAAATATTTTTTTCTCATTCTTGCTAAATATCTCAAGCGACAGATCTTTTAAGATGTCTCGTATATTTCATTTGAATAAATATAAAATATTTCTTGACAATCTCAATGACATATTTAGTATTAATAATTTATAAACATACAATAAAAATACATTTTTTACTTTACGATTATTATCGGACACTTCATTTGGCATCAAAAAACACGAGAGATTTTTGCAATATTTTCGTTCCGCAATTTCATTATGGGAGCAAAACGTGTGATTTTGATTTTAAACATTTTTAAAAAATTTGTAATGTATTCGGCGGATAATATTTAACAAATTCCTTATATTAAAATCTGTAAGAAAAATATTACGAAAACTCGTGGAGCTAATATTTTGCAATTATTTCAAATGTCTGCTAAATACTTACAAAATGTACGACATTCGTTAAATATATAGGAAATATAAGAGAAATATTTTGTGCTACTAGGGCGTATATTCGAAAAAATCTAATGTAAACTTAGAGAATTAAAAATAATTTCTTTACAGATTTGGTGCGAGTATAGGAATTCGGAGAATTTGTTGTTCTTCTCAAAGTTACCTAGCCAACACAGTTTGGCGGAACACCGAGTTATCGGCACTTTATCGAACATGAATGGTTTTGCCGAAGCATTCGAGTGTCCAAAGAACAGTCCCATGAACCCGTTACAGAAGTGCAACTTATGGCAATGAGGATACTTTTTTTATTTTCGATTATTCGTTAAAATTGATTACCCATCTCACACCCGGTGAGGGCAATTCCTATTTAAATACACCGATTACATAATTCTCACCTCATTGAGGCTTCTTGTATGTAGGAAATTAAACCTGCTCGTATAAATGACTAGCACAATGACCTCGAACTAGCTGAAAGGAAAAGAGTTCATCAGGCAGCGTTGCCAACTTCAGTTGCCATCGCAATACATACATTCTGTAGAGTAGCGTTCAGACGAAACACTAAAAGGCATGAAAAATATTGAGAGCACCCTTTTATCGGAACTTGTTCTGGTTTATTAAGTTTCCAAATACTAAAGTCTCAGTTAAGATAAGATAAAGTTAAATTTGACAACCGTTTACGTATGACTGAAACCAGTTTTTAGGACGTGACACTAATGAACGGGCAAGCGGTAAAATTCTCCCCTCGTGTGAACATAAGACGGAAACAGGTTATACAAGTTGTAACGTGCAACTTACATTCGTCGGTATTTACTTGAATGAAGGCTGTCGTCAAAATAAATAGTAGTAAAACAATGCACTGCGATCCATTCATTCTCGTTTGCAAAGATATTCTAGAAAGCATACAATAGTTAAAATCAAATATAAGAGTTTATCGAGTTCCACTAAAAGCTTGTTACGAATATTCGTGGATATCATTTACATTTACTTGTACTTATTTACTAATTAAGGTGATGTGAAAGTGGCGTTCATGAAATTTTTCTCCAAACTGGGTGTACCGAATCGATTCAGGCTTTACAATATGGAATGAATAAACATGGAAGGTCCTGAAAGTTGGGAAATTTCAATTTTTGTAAATTTCTTCATAGATATTTTGAAGAGTTTTTAGAAAAAATAAAATTTCACGAGTGTCAGGACCTTCCCTACGGCCCCCACTTTCACGGGGACAGGAGCTCGTGTCGGTGGCCGAGTCCTTACCGGAGTTGATCGAACACTTACGATTTTATTCGCGATACGTAGAAAAGGGAAATTGGCATGGTACAGAATTAACCACAATATTAATAGTACTTGTAATTGTAACTGCGCTTCGGTACTGCGAAACGGTAATATGATCGAAAGAGACGAAAACGACTAAGGACGAGTAAGTAGTCGCAAGCATAATGAGCGCAAGAAGCGAATTAGAATAGAGACAAGCACGAATGGCGGAATAGAGACGAGACGGATTCAAACGGAGATTTATTCTAGACTAAAGCTGAATAATATGAGCGCGGCGCGTTCCTGCAGTTCGTTTTTCTACAGGAACCGTTTCCGTGATTTGGCCAGACCTCGACAGTGGGGATCGAAAAGTTCCACACCGGGGAGGAAAGTCCCCGATGATTTCGAGTTTGAGAATTCATGGAAACTCTAATTTATCGGCTATTTTCACTGATTCTCGCTGTCGCAGTTGACAAGCTGTATGCGAGGAGCAAATTCCATATTTTAGGATTCGGGTCGGCCTGGATATTTTCTTAATCGATGCTTTTAATTCCACAATATTTCATTTACTAAAAGGTTCCGATTATGGAAAAATAGAGTGTCACCGAAGATTCCGATTTTTTTGCAAACTTGGTCGAGTGTCGAATTGATATTCGGATATCGTGAACCCTGTCCGGGGATCTCGGATCTCCCTATCTTGGCGCGTACGTAGGTTGCGTGAGATGTGACATCGAGTCCATGATAAATCAATTTTGGATGAAAATGAAACTTCATGAGTTTCGGGACCTACTTTAGGGCCTCTATATTCACGTGGTAACATCTGAAACGAATCGGTACACCCCATTCAGAGAATACCTTCATCAACGATTTGACTTCTCAAATATGTACAGGCTGACTTTTTCATATCACCTTAACGTTACGTCGGATTCACTTAAAAATTATATCGTACTCACTTTTTACTGATGAAGGTATTCAATATCAAAAATACAGTATTTGGTACGGCACTAGCTACGTTTACGTATGAAGCGAAGCTTGCCTGTATTGCGTTCCTCTTTTCCAAATTTCCTATACGAGTATAGTTGTGTATCCCAGTGTTATTCCCGTGTATATCACGAAATTTATACATCCAGTACTAATGGAGAAGAGAAAAATTATATTAAGGTGATGTGAAAGTGGCGTCAAAGAGGTCTAGTTTTTTACCTCGCATTTCTTCGAACTGGGTGTATCGGATCATTTCAAACTTTACAACGTGAATATAGAGGCCGTAAGGAAGGTCCTGACACTCGTTACATTTCATTTTATATAAAAAATGTTAAGAATACCTATGAACAAATTTTAAAAAAATTGAAATTTCATGGATATCGTGACCTTCCTTAAAGCCTCGACATTCACGTTATAAAGTTTGTAACGATTCGGTACATCCAGTTTGGGGAGAAATTTCAAAATCACCTTAAATATTTCACGTAAAAAACCTCGAACGACGTGTTACCGAACAACTCTGATTTTTTACTATCGAAAGCGATGGGAACGAAGCAACGCTTGCTCGTGCACACACCGGGCCTCTGCGATTTTCCCATCTAATGGCTCGTGTCCACGTGCAAGTAAAACATGCAACAGCTGCTCTCAAACACTTCTGGCCATAGTGTACACGGTTTTGGAAGAAAACTTGCTCAAGAATTTACACTCTCCTGTAAGCTCATGTACACGCCTGCTTGCAGAAGTTGAAATTGCGCGTCGATTTTGAATCAGCCCCGAAAGTCTTGTAGCAAGTTGCAAACGAATACATATATATTTTCAAACATGGGGATAACATCCCCCTGCACTGGTGTTGGACCATGATACTATCGCGACCTACTTTAAAACAATTGCAGCGGTCGAAGTCAAATTCAATATAATGGAAATGGCGCGGGCCAATTCGAAATTTTATACAGGGTGCAACAGATCTCGTAGTCACGGTTTATGCAGGGCTATCCTTGTTCGAAAAAGGAGTGAAAAAGTCCTGTACTATTTTTCCCTACGGTACATAAATTTTCTATAATCATTCAATGAAGCACAGCCGCACAATCGCGTTCCCGAACGGCAGGAACGGTAGGAACGGCAGGAACGGCAGGAACGGCAGGAACGGCAGGAACGGCAGGAACGGCAGGAACGGCAGGAACGGCATAGCGGAGAGGACTGCTACGCCGCAGACAGCCGAACGCAGCCCTACCGGCGTCCTCTTCGCTATGCCTTCCGTTGGGATACGCGATTGATTGTGCGGGTGTGCTTCACTTAATTATTACAGAAAATTTATATAGTAGAGCACCACCGTTTCCGTTACACCGATTCTTTTATACAAACATACTAACTGGATAGCTGATACCCTACTAAATGGCGTCAAGTTTTGAAGCCACCACAGCGCCTCTGGATATGGGCACATCAACTAATATTGTAGTATTTGCGTATGCGTCAAAACAAAACTGCAGATGGCATAAGAGGTGTAAAATTTACTGAAAGAAAGTAATTGTCCTCTTTATTCACATACTTACGAGAAAAAAAGATAATTCTTATGTTTTAGCCGAAGGCTTCTTACAAAATACCCAACGCACCATTCTACACGTAAATTATGTCTCTTCTGTCCTTTTATATCTTAAACGTTCATCTTCGCGAATTGACAGTTCAATATTTCTTCTTATTGCCGCGATTGACGGATTGACGGTTCAAAACTTTTGCACATGAGCACACATTACTTATTTAATATCACTGCCCATGTGTAGTGGCGCTGGTGGGACTTGAATTCGTCGAAGCCCTCTCCGTATAAAACAAACGAATAACGGCTAACCACATTTCATCTGATTTCATCGGTGTCTGCCCTGCCGATGCGAACTGCTACGTTTGAGAAACGTCGGCCCCCTGGCGACAATGGACGCGGATTATTTCCGAAAACAACAACAAATCTTAAGTATCAGCTATTCAGTTAGCATACAGCTTTCATTGCTTTCTCCCCTAGACGTACTATATACCATTCTAATCCCCCACTCCTGAAAAGTGCATCCTTGGTAGATAATATAGCGTCTCGCTCATATTGAAACGCGAAGGACGCAATTTTTACAAAATTCGATACTACGAATTATTTCATATGTTGCGAGTGACAAGGAGACAGACATTTATAGGCATCGATAACATTTTTTAAACGTTTTCGAAATGAATTGATATCGCTATAAAGTTTGAAAAATAGCAGTATGAATGATAAAAAAAACGTTTTTCTTTATCTTTGCAAAGATATGTATGTTTAACCGTTTTAGTGGCAGGGGTTTTTAAAAATCCGTGTCGGATTGTGCCATGAAGCGCGATAGCGTTGCGAATTGACGATCGAGACCAAACATCGCGACACAGTTCACCACGGTACGCGAAAAGCGTGAAAAGCGCGAAAAGCGCAATCGCGCTGCGTAGCACTAAAACGGTTAAAATTATCATCTTGACAATTTTCAATAGCATGTTAAATTTAGATCATGCCACTCTTATAAGATTAAACTTGTTTTCAATACTCACATCATCAGCTGTAACGAAGAAGGTAAAAGGTACTAAAGTATTTATTCCAAGTATATAAAAACCTATATAGACAAGTCGACACCTGGAACCAGTACAGTACGGTAAGATAATAATAATCAAACATAACATGGCTGATTCAATCTAAACATACTTATCGGTCGGTGGATAAGATTGCAAAAATGGTTCTTCATCCTGAATAGCCACATGAGGATTATCGAACTCCGTCTCAGGATCATTTTCAGGTTCACCGTCAGTGTCATACTCAAGCAGTGGCTGCCTGTTAATGGAATATGCCATACTGAATTAATTTATATCTGTAACAAAAACGAAAACATATTAGCTATAAAACTATTCGTAGTGGACATGAATGAACTAAAGACATGGTATCATCGTGGTGTCAAGTGTGTTCGAATGTCGTATTAGGCTAATATTTCATATTGAGAGGTTTTGATTAGCCGGACTAAACATACAATGGAAGTTCCCCTACTTCGATGTTACTCTACAACCAATCGGAACCTCTCGTTCACTCCGACGCAAAAATTTCTCTCATATCTCATCATTTCTCTCAATTCTCATAATTTCTTGGAAAAAAAAAGAAAAAAAAAGCGTTGGAGAAATTACCGATAAGATGCCAGAAATTTCTTATCGTTCCTGACGTAACATACTGCGTTCCCATAGGAACAGTTAGCTAATAATTATATCAGTGGCTGTATCGTCGAAATATCGACTGATGTCATTAGAGAAAAGAGGAGAGGAGGGGAGGAGGAGGAGATAGGAGAGGAAAGAATAGTGGAGAAGAGAAGACAAGACAAGAGAAGAAGACGAACTGTCACAGCCACGTCTCCTATTACCAGATTCAGGCCGGGAGTGGCAATCGATGAGCAGCAAGCGAAAGTCATTAAGAAATTTCAGAAAATCAACAATACCCACTAAACACGGTTACGTAACAATAATATAACCGTTACATACCATTTGTAACGTGTAATGTAACATACATATAATATATAAGTAAGATTTGTATTACGGTTTCCCCCGCAGCTATGTAACACTGTTATAAAACGAATAATGTAACATACATATCATATCGAGAACATGTTATATGTTATGTTAATATTATGTAACTGCAATGCTAACAAGTTTGTAACAATGTTTGTAACAAATACCGAATGGTGATGACGCGACGTTACATGATATTAATGTATGTTTTTAATAACATTCGTTATATATCATGTTAACACGTTAAGCGCCACGCCCGTTTTATTTTCACAGTGCTAACTTTTTATCCATAAAATCCAATGTCCAACTTATTCAAACAATTCTATAGGGTAAACTGATAACATTTTGAGTAATAATCTATATAACCATATTCACAAAATATTTACCAGGAAAAGAAACATGAAATTCAATATCACACATGAAGATTTATTAGTAAAATTCCTAAACAATTAATTTACATATCATTCCCCATTAGAAATTACATAACATAAATTAATTAAAGCGACGTTTAGAGCGAAGAGATGTAGCGTTCAGTTACTGGCTATGGACTTGTTTGAGACACTGCTGTGTCTCTTAATCGATCCAATGTTTCAAGAAATATATCTAAAAATACATCAAGGCGATACAAAAGTGGCATCCAAAGGATCAATCGTTTGTAAAACTTTTGATGAACAACTGAACTGGATGTATCGAATCGTTTCAAACTTTACCATATGAATATGGAGACTCTAAGAAAGGTCCCGATACCCACAAAATTTCATTTTTTATAACAAATTGCAAAAATGTTTATAAATAAATTTGTAAAAGATTGAAATTTCATGGCTGTCAGGACCTTCCTTGTAGCATGCATATTCACATTGTAAAATTTGCAATTCGGTATACCCAGTTTGGAGAAAAGTTTCACAAATAAGACCTCTTCGACACCACTTTCGTATCGCTTTAACAGTTTCAATTTTGGTCTGAATTATAAAAGCTGAGCACATAACTTCTGTAACAACACTCTTTATAAATACATTACTATCATATACAATACATACGTCTCCTTTGATGCTTTTAGCCCAAGATAGAATTCGGTTCCGTATAGTACTTTATGCCGGTATTATTCTGTCACTTTTTGCTGTTTAGTAATACTCTCCATTAAGAGCAGAGTAAAACACTCGTAGAAGAAACAAAGCGTGTAATAAACATCTGTTGTATCTAATGAGTCAAGTGGTGGATAATGACAAATGCATGATTAATCGCATCTGGCATCCACCTACTTAGAACTGATTATATTATCTTTATCTAAATCAGACGAGTTGAAATAATCCATACTCAAGAGAACATGAATATTTCTGTCGTTAACATCACGACCGAGATGAAATATTGGATATTCAAAGTCCAGTTATACATTTTCCTACTACCTTTCATTGCAACAATTCCTCTTACTAGGAATGTTCGATTCCGATTCGATTTTTAGAATCGATTCTTTACTATTCGATTTTCTTAAGAATCGATTCTATACCCTCAGAATCGAGAAACCGATTCTTTTTTACTGAAACGGTAGAGGGGAGAAATTCGCTTCGCTCATTGGTTGCCGTTTTTCAACAACGACAAGATTGGCTACTGAAACTGAGCGTCGTGACGCACTTCCGTCGGAACTAGTCGTACTGAGTACCTACTTTCAACAGCCAATCAGAACCTCTCATTTACTCCGTCGACCATCTCGGCCGGAAATATCGGCCAAAGGGAAAGCTAGAGAAGACATATAATTGCTACATAAATGGCTAATTGTTTAGTTTTTTTATACAACATTCATTTCATTTTCGTGGATGGCTTTCGACACGTCAAAATGAATTAATTAAATTTGTGTTAATTATATATAAAAAATTCCGATTTTTAAGAGAATCGATTCAAGAATCGATTCTTTTAAGAGCATCGAACATCCCTACCTCTTATGTTAACATCAAAGGTTTAAACCAGAGATGAATTAGGAGATTGCTCACGGGCAGGGTCGCGCAATCGCATCGTGTGCTGCCCTCTGGTTTCGTATGTTAGCTTTCACCGTTTTTGGGCACCGGAAAAAAACGGTGAAAGCTACCGTACGAAACCAGAGAACAGCACACGATGCGATCGCGCGACCCTGCCCGTGAGCAATCTCCCAACTCATCTCTGACTCAAGTTCACGCCAAATGTGCGACTAATTCCGTTTGCTGCCGTTAGATGACGCCCGTTTATGTAGCTTCAAAATATGAGCGATACGCACTTTCCTCTACTCCGTCTGTAGCAGTACTAGTTTCTGTGGTCAAATTCGTTATTAACTCATTTCAGCATTTTCTGCCAAAAGCGTAAACTTTAGTTGTTTAACGATCACCTTGTTAAGGTATGTATCATATTCTAGGAATCACTGTTGTTTCTGTTTTTCCTGAAACAATAGCTTAAAATCATTGATTTTACTTTACATTTGGAAAATGCACTTTCTTAATATAACCTAATCGTGTCAAATTTAAGATAAAAGTTTCCATAGATGTGGTTTCCAAAACGTCGGTAGATTTTAAGATCATTACTTGAAATGTAAGAAACTGTTTTGATCGGTGGTATAATTTTCTTTATACATAGATTTTCAGTATCATTTATTTGCACCAATGTATTTTCACTCAGTAAATATGCTCAATATTTGATATAAAAATGATATAATTAATATTTGGTACAAAAATGATATATTCTTCTTTCTTCCTCAAAGTAAATGTTACCGCAATGCCACTGTAATTGTAAATAGGATGTGGAGTATCAACGTTTCAATTAAAAAAGAAGGATATACCCTAGCATTCCTTCGTGTCCGATCGTGTAAACGGTATTTTGTATCGAATAGTATTTGCATTACATCATTTCTAATGATTCATGTATTTTGTTTTCCACAGCTCATTCTATTGACTTGGGCTTGAAACATGTCTGGAGACGTAAATATGCATGCCGAAAAGGTACGTGTTTCAGTACGATATCCCTTAGTTGTTATATAACAATGGATATCGATTCCTGTGAATAGATGTTAACTAAATAAAGTAACGACGAGGAGTCTCTCGTCGATGGGAAGTCGCAGGGCTGTCAATTAGTTTGTTGGGTATCTGTAATCAAATTCATCGATAGAAGAGTAACAATTAATAATATATTTTTCCCATGTTAAACCTGATTTCCAGAGTAAGAATGACGATAAAAGGGAAGAGGACGGACCATCCGTAAACCTGCATGCGGTATCTATAATTGCCTTTTAATCTATTAATGGGCCTAGTAAAATAAACGTTCTTATATTTACGTCATTAATTGGAACTAACTGAGAATGGAAATTGTTTTGATGGCCTTAACTCTTGTTTTTGCATTTTCTCTTTTATTGTTGATAACTACTCTCGAAGGGAAGGAGTGACCTTGTATGCATTTAAATGATCGTACCTGTAAACAATTTAATATTAGTTACCTGCGACTGATAATAGTTAAAAGTAATCACAACATCCATATGATTGGAAAAGTAAAAGATGAATCCATTGACTGAATCCTGAGAACCTGTACTTCTGTTACAACGAAACCGATACGATAGCAATTAGATATATTGGTTGGTTCAGTAATTATTAGTACCATCATTATCTTCAAATTTATAGAAATCAGGAAAAAAGTGTGTCGAATAAGTTATAAGACTCTCCAGCCTCGCCGTCCACCTATCATGAAAAATTTCAAAACACCTTCCATTAACAGCTGTACCAGGTAGATCAATAATTAAATAATTAAATCTCCACAATAACAACTGAAATAAATGTTATCGCAGAGAACCCAGACTTTTAATTTCAATACTTAGGTAACTGGGTTTAAATACCTTATCGAGTAATTGGATTTATTCTTTGGACATATAAACAGGAACCCCACTAGAATGAACTTACATCGACTTCTGTGCAAGACGTAATGAAGCAAATGGCAAAAATTTGTTGGCGAATCTCATATAAATTGAATAAATTCGTTTTTTTTTTTTTTTTCAACGAAAAATGATTCAATGGTGCCCCAATTATAATATAGCAAGATAATAAACATTTGCTGCAGAAAGGATCTCTATACCCAATCTGCATTGCTCCATTGCAGGAGTATAAAAGTTCGTCATTAATGGTAGCCAGTAATATAACAAAAGAGGTACGAAAGTAGCATTCGAGAAGTCAACCATTTATGAAACATTTTTCCGATCTGGATATACCGAATCGTTTAAAAGGATGAGTGTCCATAAGGCGGATTTTTGACCCTAAGGAATTTAAGCTTCTCATTCTTATTTCATTTAACACGTTCCGTGCCACGTGTACCACCGATAATACGAGTTAACCTCGGCTGGTACACGGCATGGCAACGTAACGCGTTAAATAAGGTCATGATAGATAAGAGAACAATTAATTAGATAAAAAAGTTTATTATAAACACGGTGAAAAATAATTTAAATTCTGACATAAAAGAATAGTAAAGTGTAAAGCAAATTGTTCAAACAATATTTAAAGCGATGTGAAAGTGGCGTCAAAGAGGTCTCGTTTATGAGATTTTTCTTTAAACCGAGGGTACGGAATCGTTTCAGACTTTACAATGGAAATATGAAGGCTATAAGGAAGATCCTGACATCCATGAAATATCATCTTATTTTTAATTTGTAAATATTTTCAACATTTTTGATGAAAGACTAAATTTCATGGGTGTCAGAACCTTCCTTATAGCCTTCATATTCACGTTGTGAAACTTGAAACGATTCGGTACACTCAATTCGGAGAAAAGTTTCATGAACGATTGACCCCTTAGATGCCATTTTTACATCCCCTTAATGCTACCAAATGATAAGAAAGATGGAAACAAATTAGTCGGAGCGTTTTTCATCGCTCTCTGACCATCCTGAGGTTGCAGCGTCTAAAAAATAGTTACTGCATTCTACGGTACAAGGATTCACTGCTAAAACATATCTTTCATGTCCCAAAAGGCTCAGCACGCGATATTCCAGCTCTTACATATTGAATATTGAGACCTTTATCGATCACATATAAACAACATTCAGCACCTATAACCGTGTTATCTTCACTTAAGTATGCAATCGTGCATTACAAAGAGTAGGAGGAACTTGACACTCGATCCTACTTACAGAGATTATGTTTTGTCATTACTAACAACGCAGCTGCGCAACACTGATTTTCATGTACATTGTCTCCTATGATACGTTACATCGTATATATCTAAAATAGAAAGTGTTTCATCGTCGTGCTCCTAAAACAACTAAGGGGGAATTACCGAAAATAAACTACTTTTAGTTGAAATCATAAAAATGAGCAATTTTGCGCACTCGAGAGAAGCGTAAAGAATATTTTTGGATACTTATAGAAAAAATGTTCTAGAATGAAAAAATGCTGATTACGGTAGTTGTGAGATCAATTGGGTTTTTCAATAATTTTTAGGGGCGTAGAGGGACCTTTTAGACCCCCGTCCTTTTACCACGTGATTATAGAGACTCTCTAAGGGCGTTTGCACCCGCGCCAGCACCGGCGTTTTTCCCGGAGGTAATCTACCCCACAAAAACACTTCCATGTGAAAAAAAAAACCTCACCAAGTACATGGTCGTTGCGAATCCCCATTTTGAAAAAAAAAAAAAGAATTAGCTTCTTCCTACAAAAAATACTGAAATCAAAACACAAAGCCAAGTGCATACGTCGGGAAGTATCCGCTTCTTATATAATCTGGCATTAGTTCATCATTCTTTCTTCATTTACGAACTTTAATGCTTTCGCTAGTTTTATGTTATTACTGCCAATTACATTTAAGTTTATTTAATCGGCATTTTTTATGATATACAATGTTAAGTGATTTCTTATCGAGTATTACTTGGCGGGTCCGTGTTTTACATAAACCATATGTATGGTTAACATAATGTAATCATATGTGTGAAATTTTTGCCGGTGCGGAGGCAAACGGCCTAAGGAAGGTTCCGATACCCGTACAATTTTATTTTTTCTACACAAATTAAAGAATATTTGTCAATAAACTGAAAAAAAATAAATGTCACGAACATCAAGACCTCTCTTAGGACTTTCATATTCACGTGGGTAAAGTTTCCAGCGATTCGGTACACTTAATGCGGAATATGTTTCATAAAGAAGACTCCTCGGACGCCATTTTCATATCCCATGATCATTCATGTTTGAACGCTGCTTAATGCTACGTATGCAATTTAACATTTCTAATTCAGATTTAGCGAAGATTTCAATCGTCCGTAAGTTAGGAAGATTATTAATTTTATAGCGCGTGTAGTAAGTAATTCGGTTAACCGAAGCCATTATCAGCGGAGTTGAAAGTATAGATTTGCATCCCGAGGCGAGGGGCTATTCACTCGGAAATCGGTGAAAATGATTTCCTAATTTGAGAAAGACTATCTTTTATTTCATATGATTAGCAAGAATGCGATTCGGTCGGCCTTAAAATGGTGGCAATGAGTTTCAGCTGACTTCCACGTGACGTCGAGCGTTAAAATTCATGATTTCCCGAGTGAATCGTCGGCGTCGTCACCCTGAAGAGTAGAGATGAAATAAATGATTAAAATGTGTTGTCAGCGCCCACCTCCGGTATATGGGGGATGCGAAGGACCGGACGCGATGTACGTCAAGTTGATCAGCAGCGACGGGCACGAGTTCATCATTAAACGAGAACACGCCTTGACCAGCGGTACGATCAAAGCTATGCTCAGCGGTCCTGGCCAGTTTGCGGAGAACGAAACCAACGAGGTCAACTTCCGGGGGATTCTGTAAGATTCGACAGTCCTATACGAATCTTCTTTTCATAATGGATGGTAATAGGACCAGCACCGAGATATATAGCAAACTGGAACGCTCGCCACGCTTAAGGGGACGCGAAAGTGGCATCTAAAGAGTCAATCGCTCGTGAAACTTTTCTCAAAGCTGTATGTGCCGTATCGTTTCAAATTTTACAGCGTGAATGTGGACAGTATAAAGAAGGTCCCGACACTCATGAAATTTCACTTTTTATAAGAAATTTTAAAAATATCTAAGAAGGAATTAACAAAAAAAAATGTCAAAACCTCCCTTATAGCATCCTCGTTAACGTTGTAAGGTTTGAATCGATTCGGTACCCCCGGTTTGCAAAAAAGCTCCATAAACGAGACCTCTTTGACCCCACTTTCGCATCACCTTAAGAATACACGGCGAGCTTGTTCCAGAGAGAGGTAGATTTGGATGTCCCTGCATCCTTGTCGCACTTCGGTTCGGTAAGCATTCGTCCGAGATAGACTCTTCGTCGCAGTTCCACTCCCAGATTATTAACCAACGCGTGCGTACCATTTCTACAGTCCAAAAGGAAAATTGACATCGTGCAGTGGTAGGGCCAAACTCAAATTGTAATTGGGCGCTAGCGAGCGTTCCGGTTTACTATATATTTCAGCGAGTATCAGAGATGATCGGAGAGATGTTTCACGCCATCGTTTGAAAGGGAGGCACGGCGTACCGACGCCCTCTACGATCTTTACACCCCTGTCAAAATTGGAGGCGAAATCTTCGCGATCGGTAAAGCAGGGTACCACTACTCATTATAACAACTTTATTCGGTATTCGTAGTCATCTTTCCCATCCTACATTGACCCCGATACCGAAAACGAAAAGGCGATAATTTCATCCTATCGATACTGCGCTGTATTTGCAATCTGCAAACGTGTTTTTCTTTACCGATAGAGAACATTTCGCCCCTTTGAAAGCAGTTCCACGGCGCTAGGGAGTTGTGCCTCCCTCTCGATAATGGCGTGAAACATCTCTCCGCTCGTCTCTGGTAATATCTTACTTTCAAAAGTATGGGAAGAGATGATTTTTTCTTTAAAAAAAGCAATAATAGCTTACACTTAACACAATACTTCAAATTGAAAAAAAATTAATACATATCAAAATCATTTATTACTTTGTACTCTTTGCAATGGGCATAGCAATGTACACACAAACCGAGCGCGGAATGACACTGTATACGCCCACTTTTTTGTTTTTTCTCCTTTCTCTTTTCTCTTTTCTCTTTTCTGTTTGCCTCTGAGAGTAGTCTCGTGACATTTTAATGTTTATAAGAAATTTAAAAAGTGTCTATAAGTAAATTAAAAGAAGAAATTGAAATTTCCTGGGTGTCAGGACCTTCCGTATAACCTCCCAGATTCACGTTGTAAAGTTTGAAACAATTCCGTACATCTAATTTGGAGAAAAGTTTCATAAATGAAATCTCTTTTACGCCTCTTTCACATCACCTTAATTTGCAAATTAACCTCACATTTTGAATATATGATTAAAGAAGTAATAGTTTGAACGTGACTCCCGATTTTGTTAGTATCATTGTTTGTTTAAAGAAATATACAAATGTACATTTTTATGCGGATGAATCTACTGTAAAGTTCGCGCGTCATACAAATGCCTACTTTTTCTCCTGGATGCAGAATATACTCTTTTTTATATCGACTCAATATTTTTTTTATATTCTTATTTTATTATATAACGACTAAAATAAAAAATTAGTCTTATACCATAGGAAGTAATTAAATGTAAAATTACTTAAACAATGAATTATCTGCGTTAAAAACTAGAATTTTATCAAATTTTATGTCTCTACTCTGGTTAAATATTCGAACACACATTCGAGCCAAGTATGTGTTCAAATTCCGCGTTCATTACACGGTGAGAAGCAGTAAAACGCATATTGGAAGAATTGGGCAAAACAAGATTCCTAGCATCGTCGTTTGTAGGAATCGTCAGAATCAATTAAGCTTCGCATATTCTATGCAAGCGGCACAAAAATCATTCATGGCTTTTCGTGATGTGAAAGACGCTGAGAAATTTAACCGACGTCGGTAAAATAAAATTCATCTATATCCCTTTAAGATACTCAAGTGGTACCACAAGCTGGCGCCTTACGTTATCGACATTTATATTTATGTTGAAGTCTCGTACACTCTACATTGAGAATTATACGAGATGAAGCGTTCCAGGTGTCATTTCAGTTGAATAATCATTACGAGATTCCGTGGATTCACGGTTTTTTATACTCTAATGGACCAACGGCGCCATCCGTGACGTTTAACTGCAACTAAAGTTTTGCTCTAAAAGCACGTGTTACTCATGGGACAAACCAGCATTCTCTTGCAATCGTCGATGAAAGTATTTTGCACATTTTCCCGTCTGACTCCGTAATATTCCATTCTGACGGTATTCCAAATTGATCGAACGAAGTTCTGAAACTCGTCATTTGCGGTTCTAAACCTTCAAAAACGTGCACGGACCACGCCTCGTTGTCCCTAGTCCATGAATAAATTGTTCTATAAAGAATGAAATTTCACGAGTTTGAGGACGTACCTTAAGACCTCTATATTCACGTGGTAAAATTCGAAACGAGTCGGTACTCTCAATTCGGAGAATACTTTGACGAACGATTCGACCTCCCGGATACATATAATATCTGACTCTTTCTGACTCTTTCGTATCACCTTAAACGACTTTTTAGTTTGACGGTCCTCTCCTAGATCAGATCCGTAAATGATGTATTCCGATCTCAGGCATGTAAATTTAATTGACATAGGACATAATGATATATATAAAAGATTGACGATGGCGCCGCTTCGGGTACTCGATTGGTAACCTAATTTTCGACTTGTTCAAATTATGAAGAAAAAGATTATAAAAGATATTAAGTGAATCGTAACATGCGGTTTATTATTTACAGGTCACACGTTTTGCAGAAAGTATGCATGTACTTTACTTATAAGGTACGGTACACGAATAGCAGCACGGAAATTCCGGAATTCCCGATTGCACCTGAAATAGCATTGGAACTGCTAATGGCCGGTAACTTCTTGGACTGCTAAAAGGGAGAGACATCTCGAGATTTGGCAGCGTTAAATTCGATTTCATCACGATTGTGGGTGAACCGACCTACATTGGGATGTGGTGCTTCGAGATTGGCCAACCATTTGGAAAAAATGTCGGATCCCAACGTTGGGATTCCCCTCGATGTGAGAACAATTTTAGTTTGCTGTTATGCCGCCATTGGACATTCAAGTGGACACGAAATAGATAGTTTACAATTCATTCGTTTCGAACAGGCACTACAATTAATTAAAACGGATTTCTCTATCTAAAGCTCCTGTATACGGACAAAACAAGATTGAACGCTAATTGTAACTTTTGACAACTAATATTATACTTTTGATATTGATTACTCCCATTATTGAACCGGACAAGACCCCATTTGTCGAAGCAGAGAGCGAGAATCATTATGGGGACGTAAAGCAATAGGTTCGGCAAAGACAAGACAAAAGATTCAAGGAAAGTGACTATTCTTGCCCTTGTCAAATAATTCATGAGTAAGAAAATAACTGAATTGTTTCAACCGGAGGCATACTTTGCAAGTTTTTCATTTTCATTTCGTAATTTGCTCACCTGGAGCACGATATTTCAAGACTATGACCGTGTATACGTTTAAACGACTCTAGAGTATTTTATAAGAAAAGTACAGTGCTAGTTGTCAAATAGTTCTTCCCAATAGTAACGAAATAAAGAAAATTGTATCGATTCTTAATAAATTTATTAATCTCTAAAACGGATCAGTTGTGCGAATTTTCAATTACTAACTCTTTGTGTATAATATTCGACTTGAACGTTAGATAGAGTGCGTTATTATGTATTCAATGTACCGAATAGCTTTGTAACTAATATCAAATATCGTTATCATTTGTAAGCCCTGTAATTACAATTGCTAATCTTGACGCAGAGAACGCGGTCAGGAAGGATTCGCAAAAAAATGAAACACGTCGGAGAACGTAATAAAATGTCGGAATTAACTTCGATAAGAAAATGACGTCGGTATCACTAGATACTAGTAACGAAAGGAATATTGGATTTCGTAGTCGCACGAATATGGCATAATACAGTGACTCGGTAAAAAGGCGCGTTCGTTTTTAATCTCAACAACAGTACTATTGCTATTTGTTAAAAAGCACATTAACTGTTAAAATTGTGTATAGGCTTTGCTAGGTTTACGATGAAAGTGTATTCTGCGATCAAGTTTGAATGTGATTTAATAATGTATTGCAAAATATATTCAACCTTACGTAGCTGGTTAAAGTGAAAAGTTCTTATTTCGGTAATGTGAAAATTATTCGAATCAACGACTTGCGTGTACGTTTTATATTCAACACAAAGGTAGAAATCGACACAAGTCAATCGAGTCAAAGATAAACGATAGCAAGTGGCGGCACCTCGGAACTGACAATTACCGTCAACGCTTATTTTCAAATGAATTAGTCGAGAATCGACAAAGGTTTCAAGTTAAGGGAAATACATTCTCAGCTCCGTAATGTTGGGCCGATTTCCTTTTTTAAGGATGTGTCCTAATGAGGACAAAATTGTAGCAATCTCGTATCTTTTGCGGAGCTATACAATTGAACCAAAACTAAAATAGAAAATTCCAAATATATAGCCCCCGGCAATTTTCTCCTTTTGAAAACGAGCTATTAAAAAGGTAAATCGGTTCAAAATTACGGGACAGAGTTTTTTCGGGAGCCTCTGCCGTTAATTTGCAGGAAGAATTGTTACGTTATTAGATCGTGCCCGTATCTTGCTTCTAAAACATTTGTAGAATTACATTCATGGAATCGCGTATAGAGTCTGTATTAAACTATTTATCGATAAAACATTCTCAAACCGGTAAGTAACGTCTACGAAGTAGTATAAGGAGATACAATGCCACGGATTGAAATCGTTCGCACTTTAGGGGTGCAAGATCTTCAAGTTTTTTCCGATCTAGGGCCGAGAGTACCTCAATCAAATTTTGCAATTAAAAATTATCATCCGTTATCGTGTCTGCTAGTCTCTATCGCGTAAAAAACATTACATTCTGTATATTATGCACGGATTATCGTTTTGCTTTGCGTACCAACATTGTAAAATTAAAAGCATTTTAGGTAATTTACGTCGGTAGGAAATGTTTTTGTCGCATAGTATCGGAGTTCCCTCATTTTCCTCAAGTAGCGCTCAGATCGTTAGAGACCAGTAAAAATCTGAGATACTGGGTCCCGACCGAATTGGTGTTATGTCTCATTACATTACTTCATGATTGCAATATACGCTCAAAACTTATAAGTATCGAGTTCTTTTGTTGTATAGTACGATAAATATCTGTTTTCTAATGAATTAAACTAGTAACAAAGTCTTTGTTTCTTTAAGCGAAGTATGACATTTTCATTGACTAACGCTTGACGTTATTGGGATGAGGTTGCTTGATGTCAAAATCGCGATACCGTGGCTTCCATGCCAAGGCACGGCAACGGCACGTTACGTGGCAGCCTAGTCAACGCGGAATTTTTCGAGTAGTATCCTTACATCATAGATATCTAGACCTCGCGTTGCAATCAAAGGGATAAATTCGAATATGTTGGACACAACTAGAGTGCATTGCATGTATACGTGTCAAAAGATCGGTCCCAATCAGATTTTAGACCATGTAGTGGAAGGGGTAAACCAATGTACCTGCTTACTGAAAACTTGGGAGTGGGAGGTCCACAGCGACGTCTAGATATATACGGTCTAAGGTAGGACCGTTCCCCCCTAAGTGCCCAGATAAAGGAAAGATAAGTACACGAAAAGAAGCTTCTCGGAGCAAGTTTTGTTGATTAAATATATTTAAAGTAGTAACACATGAAAATAAGCCGATACGATTGGTACATAATTATCTCATAAATTAGTAACTTCTATAAGTAGGTATAAAAACATTCAAGAATTTAAGAACCAGTATGAACACAATTGTATAAAATAAAATGATCTTTCTTATATAAAACATTTATGTCATTATTTTATCATTGTATGCACTGTAATTATTGTACATCTACTACATAATAATAGAATTAACGATAATATTCTATCGATTCCTATTCTTCTACTGCATTTTCAATAGTCAGACTCTTATAAACTTGGAAACTCTGTCTCTAGAATACACATCTGCCTCGTTGGCTTCAAATTGAGTTAAAAAGTTCAGACAATTTGAAATCTACATGATAATTTCTGAATTAAATTGTTAAAATAAATCCTCTATAAAAGTGACGTATTTACAGATAACTATACATGTCAATTTCTTAATCTTTAGTTTATTACTTTCCTCATAAATGCGGTAACTCGAATAATTATATACATGCAGAGTTTATATGGATATTAAATGAATTATCCACATTTTATGAGCAACTGCTATGGAGTGCTACGTGGTTCAATTTGGAATCTGACTGCAATATTGCCTTCAAAACTGTATTGAAATGTAAAATGTTAACAATGTTTTTGTTTCTTATCGAGTGCTTCACCCAAGTTTAGCTGATTTATTAAATAAATGCTTATACGTTATTATCCTTCGAACAAACAATTGCTGCAGCAATATTGTAATAGTTAAAATTTTTCACCAACTTAGTCAGGAAACGTATAAAATGGATCAAACCGCGCATTGATGATTACTTTGAAAATACGCACGGTATGCTCGCTATGCAATATCTTAATTCATATAGCGGGGAGGATATACTTTACTTTAAAAAAGTTATATCCATTTAATCACTAATCATTTCAATGCTACGAGTCGATATAATAATAATGCACATTTTTACTTACATAAACATTTGCAAATGAAATTACATACTAGAAACAATTGAATCCAACAATTTATATACAATATATAACAAATGTTTTCGATATGTTCAAGCAATACGATTGTGCCACATAGTGGGTAAATGGTTAAAGCACGCAAGACTCACCAGTGCTCTTTGATAATGAATTTAATACTTACATTACGATCAACCGTCATTACTTGCTTCTACTGTCTTTCTCTATATCTTTAAACTTGATTTCTAACCTTTTCGAATAAGCTGCAAGTTTATATGCTGCCTGTTCCAACTTTGTCACGCTATCATCAATTTGATTAATATTATCCAAAATAGGCTGTAATTTTCTATACTTTTGATTTAGCAATTCCAGAGACTGAGCTACGTTTGATGAGACAGTTTTCAACTCTGAATATTTCTCAATTGTTTCCTTATTTAATTTCTCCAATAATTTGTAGTCCGCATGTGTGGCAGTCAATTCTTCCTGAAGGTACTCTCCTGTTTTTTGAAACATGGCGTTTGCTAATCGGCTGAGATTAGGATCGTGCGGATCCAATGCTTCGAAACTGCTTGTACTCGTGGATAAAGTCGTGCCACGCTTTGGTGACTCGCATCTGCAATTTGCTTCATTTTCTGAATTATCTAGTCGAGAAGGCGTGGGTTCCATTCCATGTATACTCGATTCGTTTACAGATGCCATGGTTGACCGTAATGTCACGCTTTGATTACGGTGCAAATATCAAAGGCACTGCAAAAAATGATTAATAATATCAAGACCAAATTCTATACATTAAACACAATTAGTAACGTCAAACCTTGACAAAGAAAATTACATTGAAAAACAGATCATTAATACTTTTAACACATTCCTCGTGTAGTATCTTAAAAGTCTACTAAGACTGACTAAGGCAGTTTGACTACATCTTCATCGTACCCTAAATTCCAGATTTATAAAGTCCAAACCCAGTAAATCCGAATTTAAGTGTCGATCAAGGGGGTCTATTACGTAAAGACATTTGAGCGAAAATGTGAAAAATGAGTAGCTCACGGTAATACGGAACGTTTTTCGTGGTGAAAATGGGAGACCATTCGTATGAACTGGTTCGGCACAAATTTTTAAGCAAAATGGGGAAGCATATGTACAAGAAAAAAATATAAAAATAAGCACCGTGAACGCCATCTTCCACGAATTGTGACACCGAAATTCAAAATGGAAAACGTCCCGGGTGTTTTGATTTTTGGCAACAATCGTATTCGGGAACTTGTTAGAAGAAGGAGGGAATTATGTGATGCCTCAGACCCATTTTCGTTTGAAAGAGAGTTTACTAGGATGTATAGGTTAGTTTTTGTTATTGCGACGTCATATAACATTATTAAACATTGAAAACTGTTAAATAATTCACGCTTACATGACATGATAAAATTATATTATTGAACTTCTACTTATAGTACATGTAAATATGAATGTAATACATATTTAAAAAATATAGATAGACTCGAGTCCTGTTCTTTACCTTTAACGGCTTTCCATCTTCTCGTCTTTCCTACCTATAACCCACTACTCAACAATTTTCGATTTACAAGGTACGTACCTTTATTTGGCAATATTATAGATCGGAAGTGCTAGTGATCGCGTTCTTTCATATAGCGAATACGTAATTCGACGAATAAACCCACGTGAGACGAAAGTGCGAGAAGTGAGCGCTCTCGTCAAAAATACGTAATAAACACCCTGATCCTCTCTGAGTATAACCAGCTAAAAACACTGTAATGACTACGTTTCCATCGTACTCGAAATCCGGGACTTATCGGGTCTAAACCCAGTAAATTCGAGTTTAAATGTCTATCGAGACGCGCAGAATCACGCAGAATCGAATCTGTGTATTCATTAAGGCGATGGAGACACGCGTTTTACTGGATCCGGACACAATAAATCCGGGATTTACGAGTCCGATGGAAACGTGGTCAATACTCTCCGACCAGACATAAAGTTGGGGTAGTCCCCTGAGTGCTATCTTGTGCCGTATCCGTTATGTTCCACTGGGGGGCACGTGAACGTTTGAATTGATTATTTCGACTTGAGACACCAATTTGCTTTCGTTCCAGATTTAAAGAAGTCTAGTTGTATGGACCGCATTGTCCGCTTTTATGCTGCTTGTACGCAAGCGCTTACGACGATTATTGATTTTTACGTGCAGGAGCGAGCGGATATTATTGACTTATTTCTACAATAGATGAGAATAGTCTTTGAAAATATTATTTTCCGTCGATGTGACAAGATATTGAATAAACCAAATCGTGTATACCGAAGTGCATAATATGCCAAAATCAAGTAATTCTTTCTGACCAACCGCCACCCTGAAAAACTCCGCTTCTCTTCGAGGTGAAACGTTTTCGAAGAATTGGGATTTTGATAGTGTAAACACGGATCTCGCCACGCTCTGCAAGGTACGAATCGTCATTAGATATGGTACATGTTATCCTATTAAAAAAAGAGAGTTTTATTTAAAGTCTAAGCACCTCGCGAGATGCAAAATTAAAAAATTATGTCAGTTTCCTTTGACAGATTTTGCAAAAACATCCATCACGCGTAGTTAAAACTTTGTCAACACGAAACATAAGCAGTACAGATATGCCGTTGCGTATCGTCGATTGAATGATCTAAATGTATGCTTATTTTTTTATATTAATTATTAAAATGAACTCGCAAGCTTTAGATTTGTGATTTTTAGAATTAAATATCAGCCTTATATCTACTCGACACTGGGATCAAGGGCTTTGCTAAACGCATTTTTATTCCTTACCTTTATTTACAGAGATAATTAAAATCCCTTGCTCCTCTTGATCTGACAAAATATTTTCACTAAGTGCATTAATACTTTTGTACCACTCAAAACACATCACAAATTGGCACTTTCATCTTCGTATGTACGTTTAGTAAAACACAGATAATGCATTTGTTGTAATAGAATTTGTAAGAACTTTTGAAAAATTTAAATTAACGAAATAAATCTAAATAATCATTGGCTGTCAAGATACTTGGCTGCGCCGAACTCTACAAATCGTGTCGAAGTTTTCAAATGGGGCTGGTACTTTAAGGCGATACGAAAGGGTCACCTCGTATCATCAAAATATTTATAAAACCGCTCTCAATACTGGGTGCACCGAGTCATTAGAAACTACGGCGTGTAATTATGGAGACCCTAAGGAAGAACATGGTGCTGGTGATATTTTTTTTTATAAAAAAGTTTGTTATTTATCTCAAATTAGAACCAAGAATACATATTTTAGAAAAATGAAATTTCATGAGTACCACGTTCTTTCTTAGGACCTCCATGATTACGTGTCGAAATTTCAAGTAATTTAGTGCACCCAGTTTGGAGAAAAGTTTTATAACTATTTTGACGTTTTATACGTATAGAACGACCCTTTCGTATCGCATTAAGGCTGCAAGATAATGGAAAAGAATTTGAATCGTTGCAATCGCTATTCCACTAAATAACGCGGTAATAAATAATCATTGTCATTGTTTAAAAACATGACGTATAAAATGATAATATTAGATTGCTTGGCACCTTACGAAGCTTCTCTGCTGTTGACAGGTATATCCTGTGAGCCCTGTTACAGGGCCGGGTGCAGCTCGATCCGTATGGGAGTTAAGTCCAGATCCCGACATGGTCGGGCATTTACCTACGAATCCCATATCGAGATCGACTCACCACACAACGGCTCCCGTGAAAAATGCCGAAAACCGAAAGAGAAACGGCCCGAACGAGAACGTTTATACCGACGAAGCTACCCCTGGTCAATGTCCAACGGACGAAACCAAAAGGATTTTTGACCTTCTTAGATCCGGGTGGGTATATGCGCCGAGGTGAAGACATCGGCTGCCCACAAATGACCCATAGCTGACCCTAGTCCTGGGGCTACTAGTCGGAAGGAGGTCCTTTTTCTTTCGTTTAAAGTTAGCATTTATGCAGCCAAGATACGCGGCTAACTTGATGGCTAAAAGGCCGTTTGCACCTGCACCGGCACCCATACCAGCTCTGATGATCATTTGACATGAGAATCGGCATTCGACTTGCCGAGTTTGACGCAGGTGCCGGTGCGGGGATGGACTGAGGTTTCTAAAGACTCTTGGTCCCACGAGAGTCCGTCCGGGTTGTTCGCGGTCTATAGGCGCATTGGTACGTAATATAGATTCATTGGAGAATTCGAATAAAGGACGACTAAACATTTCTAAAAGTGAGGTATGAGTAAGGGTGTATTCTTTATTCTGATGCAACTTGATGAATATTCTTTCAACGTACGTGTACATTTTAGTTCATTATACATATCGCATTCCATTGGCTCTTTTCGACAGGTCATGATCAATATGCGACGTCGTTAGCTTCGACAGGGTTAAAGAAACACAGACACCGAAGTCGTATAATTATATTAATTACGTGGTTTTATACCTTTTTGCAGTGAAATTGCGGCTGTTGACGATTTAGTTGAAAAAAATGGATTAAGCGTATTAAGTGCAAGAGACGAATGGGGATATACGCCTGCACATTGGGCGGCATTAGATGGAAATGTCGAAGTAAGAATACAATATGTACAGTTGATTTTTTTAGCGCTCCGCTAGATCTTTTCGTATTTCATTATAGATTTCATTATGGTGATTCTTTTGATAAAATACGGCGCGTTAGCGATTAATGCTTTTCTCACTCCAATTTACTGCTTTATTAGAAAACAGGGTGATTCCACGATAGATCACTAATTCGTTCAGTTTTTAATTTTCTGCAACGAAGTATATGCTGGGCGTAAAAACAGAAAACCACAAAGACTTTAGATAAATATTTTGCGACATTGTCAATATTGGTGAGCTGATTTTAACTGCATGCATTTAATGACACGGATGGAATATCGGCATACACGTTTCACCCATGGAAAAACCATGAAAAAACCACGAAAGAACCACGAAAAAACCACGAAAAAACCACGAAAAAACCACGAAAAAACCATGGAACGAAGTCGGGTCACTTTTGCAAATTACATTCACTATTTTAGGCATCGTGTATCAAATACATATGGCACCATTAACACGTTTCCTGACAAAAAAGTAACAGGTTGCAGTCACGAGGTACACTGAGAAAACAGTTTATTTAATCCAAACAAAGAAATATGTTTAAACTACTTTTATTAAAGCAAAACAATTATTTGTATCAATCGACAAAGCGTTTATTTGATTTCAGTAGAAGACAAATTTTCACGTTCTCAAGTGAACTACATTATTTGTTTCACGTAACTGTCTTAATTTAAATTAATATTTTCTTTAAACTAACCAATCAACTTATTTAAGTGTTTTGTATTCAAGCTACAAAATGATTTATTTGATTCCAACGGATACATTCAGAGGTGCCGCAAGGTTCTAATAGTAAGGTCTAAATAGTCGTATGGGTAATACTTTAATGGGCGAAAATAATTATAATCAATGATACGAGTTGTACCATTATGTGAAAAAACTATAATAATGGCCCGTTCATAAATTGATCGGATATCCAAGCTTCTTTGCCTCCGTTAACGGAAAATCTCTTCTTCTCTTACAATGTTCGTTAAAATGAAACAATTATTGAATTGAAATTAAGCAAGTAATTTGCTTAAATGTAACGTTTGTTCAACTGAAATAAATCATTCGTTTAAATTAAAGATTAATTGCATGCAAATCATTTGATTATATCAAGCAAACATGGCCAATCGACAAATATGTTTAAATTAGACATATACTTGTTCAATTGTATAAGGAGGAAAATGAAAGTTGATTCAAACATGTTTGTTTTCAATGAAATAAATCGTTTTCTCAGTGTAGTCACGATCGTAAATCGAGTGACATTATTTGAATACGTTTCAGGTAATGAGGTATATGGTGGAAAGAAACGGACCCGTCGATCTATCTTGTCTTGGGACCCAAGGGCCTAGACCGATACATTGGGCTTGCCGGAAGGGTCACTCTATCATTGTGCAGTTACTTTTAAAGGTACTCTAAATACCATTAACTTGCCATGCTTTTTTCTTTCGTTTCTAGACCTCTGCCCCTCTCTCTCACCCACGTTTCATTCAAAACATTCATAATTAACAATCCAATTCTTACTTGTACAACGAAGAAAAATGAAGGAAATCTGAAAGAATTCTCAAGTCAACGGTCAAGTTTTATTTCGATAAAATGGTTGCAAAATGGTAAGATTCTTAATAATTGCATGATCGTTGTGTTAACAGGCTGGTGTCACCGTGAATGTGGCCGATTTTAAAGGATTGACGCCTCTGATGACAGCGTGTATGTTTGGGAAATTTGCCACGGCGGCTTTTTTACTTGGTTCAGGAGCGCTGGCCCATTTAACGGACATAAATGGCGATACGGCGCTACATTGGGCAGCTTATAAAGGTCACACGGAGCTCATTAGATTACTTATGTACAGCGGGGCCGATCTGCAAAAGTCCGACTACTTTGGATCGACGCCCCTGCATCTTGCTTGTCTTTCGGGAAATGTAAGCTGCGTGAAGATTCTTTGTGAAAAGACAAAAATCGAACTCGAACCGCGAGACAAGAACGGCAAAACTCCTCTTCAGTTGGCCAGAAGTCATAGGCATTTGGACATTGTACGAATCCTCCAAACCGAACATGAACGTCGCGCGAAGTGGATACCGCCTCTTAATGAGCTTTGGTTCGTATAAGTATTTCATATGTCATTGGATCCTACCGTGATCCTACCGTGATCCTACCGTGATCCTTCCGTGATCCTACCGTGATCCTACCGTGATCCTACCGTGATCCTTCCGTGATCCTACCGTGATCCTACCGTGATCCTACCGTGAAGGCGATGCGAAAGTGACGTCAGGGGTCTCGCTTACGAAACTTTCCTCTGAACCGAGTGCATCAAATCCTTTCAAAGTTTACAATGCGAATGCGGAAGCTATAAGGAAAGTCCTGACACCCGTGAGATTAACATTTTTTTTTATTTCTGTATAGACATTTTAAAAGCTGTTTATAAATAATTAGATTTCATGGGTGTCGGGACCTTTCTTACAGCTTCCGTATTCATGTTGTAAAGTTTGAAACAATTCCGTACACCCGATACGAAGAAAAGTTTCACGAACGATTGATTCCTCATATGCCGCTTTCACATCCCCTTAATTCTCATAGATTCAAAGCAACGGATGAATATTGTATTCATATAAAATATTAGCACTTCGTAGCCGAAATATCTGTACAGACGTGACTTGGTACGCGACCTGACCGAGCTTCTCGATATCGTAGGGGAAGAGTTAATTATTATATGAAATGAAGACCGGCAGATAAGAAAAAGATACAGGAGAGAAGTTGCGCCAAGTACTCGCGTCAAAGAATGTAACGCGCAAACAGATTTATATAAGAAATGAATGTTCTCTATTGCTTCAGGGCATTGCTCTTCGGCGGCGCGGGAAACAGTAAAGGACCATTGTTGTTATTCATGGGTTCGGTCCTTCTCTGGGGCTATCCAATGTACGCGCTCAAATGTATACCAATCACGTGGAACCTCTTAAGGGGAAGTCACTATTGTTTCATCTATTGGAACGTTGTCATGTGGCTAGCCTGGATAGTGGCGAATAGGAGGGATCCTGGATATTTACCACAAAACAGTGATTCTTACTACAGGGCGATTAAACAGGTACCGTCGTGTGTCATTTTTTCTACAATTGAAGCAGTCAAATTTGATATTTCAATTTGTATGTAATAGTAACTAGCCAACCTTGCCCCTACTATACTCTGTATTGAACACTTGCATTCGTTCGACAATTCGCGGGAAAAATTCCGGGTTATTCTATCCTGAAAACTTGAGCTCTTCATCGTTGAATTTGTTGCACCCTGTCAAGTGTAACAATTTTTCCTGCAGTAGACAACTGTCTAATTAGGATAAAAATACGCGGAAATATGACAGAAAACAGCAATGGAGTAGAATAGGTAATTAGAACGCATACTTGAAATTTAGGGAGGAACGGAATAAAATTCACCCGCACAGAATTAATTCTTTAAACGTTGGTCATTTTCTTAAGTTTAACAACTTGTCCGAGTGCATTGAAACAACTAGCACCCGGGTGTTATTTTATTGAAATAAATCCTCTTCTAAATGTATGATAATTTAATAAGTTAATACAGAATATAATAATTGTAGCTAAGTATTCAAATTCAATATGGAACCCTTTTCTCTTCTAATTCAGCAATATACAATTACCGCTGTAAAACAATTACTGGGAATAATTAATTATATAGTTGAGTTTATGTCTCTAAAGAAGTAAGTATATACATTGCTGAAGGATTATAAAATAATTCATATGATGCTGCCATACAGGAATAAATATCCTTAGCTATGAATTTACAATGCTTCGAGGCAAATAGAGTTCCTTTCGTTAGATTTATTATAAAATAGAAAATTGATAATTGAAATGTTAATGACGACATGAAAATATAGATTCAATTATATTAAGGAATATTCTGTTTCGGGAAGATGTTAATTTCTAAACGAAAACGTTGACTTCAGATACCGTATTTTGATAAGTGGAAGAAGAGGAACGTCATCCTATCCCGCTTATGCCACAGTTGCAAATGCTTCAGGCCATTAAGGGCCAAGCACTGCAGATACTGTAAACGTTGCGTCACGTATTTCGATCATCACTGCCCCTTTATTTATAATTGCGTTGGACTGCGGAACAGGTAACTTGCACCGTATTTCTTCATAATCCGGTCTTTGTCGCATTGAAAAACTGATTGATTTACCCTTTGCAGAATGTGGTTTTTCCTCTTTGTGATGTGCGTGGCTATAAATTGTTCATTCACCCTCTACTTCGCTTGCTACTGCATTGCAATCGAGGGAATACAGTTGCTTTATGTACTAGGTTTACTGGAAGCATTCATATTTTGCTCTCTCGGTTGGATATTGACGTGCACTTCGGTGAGTAGTTGATCGTCTTTACAATTCAATTCAATTCAATTCAATTCTTTAGGTGTCCAGATAGAAGTTCATCATCATCATATGGAACCATCATCACGAGGAAAATCGATTTACAAACAATTTGCCGACCGGTTGCTGCATTAAATGTCTGCAATATTGCGTTCGATATCTTTCTAAAATAGGGTTGTATTTTTTTTAAACGGCCGTAGAGTTTTTATGTTATTGCTTTAAGAAAGGTATTCTCTTTTTAATTGTCGGATAGTAACTATAAGAGATACAATTACTTTTGAAAGGGACTACGGGGAAAATCGTATCAATTTCAAAAAGGCGTCGATTTTCTACATTTTTTCAATTTTATTTCTTTAACTCGGACGAACACTATTTCTCTTGTTTCTTTGATGATTCGTACATTTTTAATTTTTGTATCGCTGCAATCAGAGAAGCAAGTATGTATCTACGTAACGTGTTAATCTGAATGCGGAGGGGGGCGCGTATACGTATACATTCGACAAAGGCGTGCTCTACGTCAAAATTCGTTATCGTTAACAAAGGCTTCAATTATGAATAGAATTCTGAAGATTCCGTTAGCTGAACTTGTATCGCAAAGGTTTATTTTATAGTAAAAGCTTTCGTTCTTGTTGGTCTTGCCATCATGGTTCTACTTTACCGCAGGTTCTGCACGCATGTATGAATTTGACTACGAACGAGATGTTCAACTATAAGAGATACTCTTACTTGAGAGACAAAAAGGGAAGATACTTGAATCCTTTCAGCAGAGGACCGGTACTCAATTTTATCGAATTTTTCCTATGCCCTCCCGATCTGCACGCAAACGACCCGCAACAATACCACATTCTCAATGAAGAGGGTATGTGAAGGAGGTCCGTCAAATAAGCAGCTTACGGCAGCTTACTACAGCTTACTACAATGATAAAATTGCTTCAAGAAAATAGTGCACAAATACGTTCCTTAATCTCAGACATTTAAACGGAATCGCTTTCTGGTATTTAACAAATTTAAAACCCAAATGTCATATTGAAATCAGTGCATGCATACGAAAAGTGATAGAAACAAGAGTAACCGATTTAAAGAGGTGTTCCCATGTTTCATAACACAAAAAAAAAAAATTCATTTTAAAAATGTTTCTGTACTATTAATGTTTGATCTTTCATAATTATACGTGGGAAGGAATGTCTTATAAAGAACTTTTCTTTTTTGTTTTTGCCAATTTAGATGAACACAGGGGAAGTGAACGTAGCCAACACCAAGCACAAAGAATCTTATTTAGCCTATCTCAACGTAATATATCTTGCATAATAGCCATTTTTGTATAAAAGTTTAAGAAAGTTATTAGTAATTGGACCCTATACATAAAAATTTAGGAAAGTTATGAGTGATTGGACCCTGTATGTAAAAATGGCCAGCTTATATTTCGCTTTCTTCTATTAAAGGAAGATCATTCAATTTAGCTATTATCTATGCTTCAATTGGGAATACCTCCTTAAACTTGTTTGAGAAGGACATTTCACGTACCATTGATTCAATTGTCAACGCCATATCACGGTTGTACTTAATTCGAGCCATAACAATATGCTAGTAAGTTTATTATATGCATATTTAAGTATCGACGTAGTACAATTCCGTTATAATTGGCTTCTTTCGAGTTAACAGGGAAATCATGTTTTATGTAATATAGAGCTTGCGTTAAAACCTCAAGCTGCATCCGTTTGACTTTTGCGCGAGAGAAATATCTCTCCTGTTTTTACAGTATTGTAAATTTCGATTTCCTACCACTCCCTCGTTATAATGAAGTTGTACTGCAACTTTATCACTTGCGTATTGCAAAAAGTAAGATCAATTACATTCTCCGCTCTGCGAAGGATGGCAAGAAGAATATTGCTAACTATCTGTTACCGGAGAAATATTCTCCGACTGTACGTTGTAGTTAAATACTTGTCATTAAAATGAAGGTATTTTTACAAGGTAAACGAGTGTTTATTCAAATTTCCCATACTTGTCTTTTAGTGTCATCTCACGATGAGAGGTGCGGTCACAACATAATATACAGGGAGAGTCTTTTATGTGATAATTACTTGTTCCCGGATCCGGTTTGTTGTCTTTACTTATTGTTTTAAGTGAAAGTGGCAACTTTGCTGGAAAATGTCATTCGTTTAGAAAAATGGCGACTGGGAAATTGCGATTTCCTCGTTTCGGACGTCAACGATTCAAAATGGCCGCGGTTCTCAAGGCCTTAAACCTTAAATGATATAATTTGTAAAAGTTATGAATGACCAAATATATACTTTAGTTTAGAGAACTTGTTAATGAACTAAAACCGAGACATTGTTTTGCATTTGGTAGATAGTAACTGATTTCAGATGTTCTGTAACCACTTAAATTATTTAGTTTATAATTAATGTAACATAGCCGAAAATGATCGGAACGGAATGTGACGGGTACATATATGTATTTGGAGAAGTTTTCTTTTTACACCTGATGGTATTCTTTGATATGTCTGCACCTATTCGGTGAATATTTGGGGAGGGAGGAGGCACCCACAATTTCAAGTCATCTACTCTAGGGATGTTGAAAAAAAAAAATGTCTTTTTCGTCTACACACAGCAAACGGCACCACAAATTCGTAACGACAAATTTGACGAGCAGGGGAGACCGAGGTGAAATGTAACAAACGTTATAAATTCCATCCTTCAATTTGGAAAAACTTATCGGGACAGGTGACGTTTTCCGATAGGGCAACGAATCTCCCACAGTAATTTCATGCTTCTTAGACCAAGCGTTCTGTTGTTTTCGACATTTTTCGTAAAACGGCGTAGGTGAGTAACACTTTCATGGGTTCAGTGTTTTTCGTTCGCATTAAATTGGGGGGAAACGAGACTGATTTACTCATGCCACCGATGCCACGGCACTGCATATAGAGTAGTTCGTTATATGTTTAATGGATTTAAAGTTCAGACAACTCTAAGTAGTTCTAATTATATAAATTATTTGACGGAATACATTGGGGACAGGGGTAATAAGTCAAGTTTACTCCAGAGTCATCTACATTGTCGAAAAACACATTCGATCAAATTTATTTCAGGCAGACCTTTTGAACATAAGATCATGTCTTGTACACGTAAAAATATTCACAAACGGAATGAAAACAAAATAGATAAATCTGATATTTATCGTTTAACCTGTTTATTGGTTACAAGTCTGACAAATTTTCAAATTTTGTATTTATTTCCGGACGAATTCCAAATGAATACAGTCTGTTGAGCTTTTACGTGTTTGTCAACTTGTCCTTCTCGTCCTTAAATATTCATTCACTTTTTCAAGTATCGTCACAATCGCACCTTATGCCGGTTAATATACGTATATATGTAGCTGCAATTGCGAATATTAGTTCCTGTCAATTACAGAATTAAGGATGTAAAAATTGTTACAACTGACCACGGTGTGTCATATGTTTTACACCTTTCCCTTTTTAGAGGTCATGCTTTTTTACAAAATTACGTAATTGTTAATACCCTTCAAATTATTTACACCATCCACTTACTGCCATGTATTTTTTCTTTTGGAAGGGAAATCTTCATAGACTACCGGCTGCCCGTACTGCTGCCGGGAAATTCTGGATTCCCTCCTTTACAGTGAGCAAAAAACACATTCCAGACAAAGAGAAATTCTTCTTTCGAACAGATATTTATTGGCTGCTATCCTCAAATTTGAAAGTCGATTGCATGAAATTAAGACAATTTTTAAATAATACTCCGTTTTCTTAAACTCGGCTTGACCAAATCTGTTAAGTCGTTTGAGTTAAATGCAATGTTTTATTAAATAAATAATATAACTTTCATTTATATTTTGAATTCTTGGGATCAATTTTGTAGATGAAATTTTTATCACGTAATCATTTTCACTTTATATTAACTTGCCCATCATTTAGGTTGAAACACTGATGATCCTTCCACAATAAATTTTGCGGAAGCTAAGAAATTTCTTTAACAAAAAACATTGCATGGCAGACCTATCGGCTAAAACCTCTCCTCCTTTTATTGCGGGTCACCCTAATGATTCCAAATTTGTATTTGCATATTCATTACTTCAGATTTTTATTTTTGCCTTCCTATTGTCATTCAAAGTTACGGATTATAAGTGTAATTATAAAAATACAGTAATACTTGTTCTTCTAAAAAGTGTTTCAAACTCAATGATTTCTTATACCGCGCATATAAAACTGTAAAAAATATCTTGGTAAAATGTACGATACCGTTTTGACATCTGGACATTAAATCTTGCTTAAGATACTAATGTTTTCAACATAATTATTATCGTCGTATAAAAATCATACATTTTGTGTTTATAACATATGTAAACTAACAGTTGTATAGCATATATCGCATGTATTATATTAAATTATAACCTCGCAGTAATAAATATTATTTTAGTTCGTAACAAAAGTCATAATTGGGTGGTGGATTTGGTATCGGAGGTGGATCTTGAGGTATATCGATTCCTTCGGCATCCAACAGTCGCAACTTAATGTCCATTGATAGTAGCGTTTCCAAATCATTTTCAGTTTCCTTGCTCGTCATTCGATTTCCTAAAGGAAAACAAATTAAAATTGATGCCAACAACAAAATACATACATTAATTTATAACATAACCTAGTATAACATCTCGCTTTGGGCGGTGTAACGGCAAAATGTGTCTTGAGATTGTTTATTCTTTTGTATTATAAACTAATTGTTTGATCCTGACCCTTCCGAAACAAGAGCGAAATGCTAAGAAGAAATACAACCAAAAAAAGACAATTTTACGTATGTTGTATAACTAACATTTTTTTTAAATTATATGAAACCGTTCATTACCAATTACTAATTCTTTAAAGTGATATAAAAGGCGCTGAAAAATGTAATTGACATCAATAAAGTAAAATTCATGTATACCCTTTTTGGTGGTAATGCCATTTTGAATATTCAAATGGTAACATAATCTGGCGCGTTCCGTTACCGACATTTATATATGCTTTGAAATTTATCACACTCTACGTTGAGAATTATACGAAATGAAACGTTCCATATGTCATTTCGGTAAAGCAATGATAAAGAGATCGATGTAAAATTGTCGAAATTTTGTGAATTTATGATTGTTTATATTCTAATGGACCAACGGCGCCATCTGTGACGTTTAGCTGCAACTATATTTTTGTTCTTACAACATGTGTTATCCACAGGGTAGTTGAACATTCCCTTACAATCGTTGGTGAAAGTATCTTTCATATTTTCCCATCTAATTCTGAAATATTACATTTTTATAGTATTCTATATTGTTCGCGCTGGGTCCTGAAATTTCATTTTCGATTCTAAGCTTTCAAGTAGCGTAAAACATAAAAAACGTACGAACGACGCCATGTTAGTTCAGTTCCATGGTAAATAACAAATTTTTGTATAAAAAGTGAAATTTCGTGAGTTTCAGGATCTACCTTAGGGCTTGCACGTTTAAGTGTTAAAACGAAATAAATCGGTACACCCAATCTCGGAGAATACGATTACGAACGATTTGAGCTCTCAGAGATATATATATATACATATATAGGCTAGCCCTTTCATATCACCTTAAGGTAGTATGAAAGTGGCATCCGAAGGGTCAACTGTTCGTGAAACTTTTCTCCGAACTGGGTGTACCGAATCGTTTCAAAATTTACCACGTGAATATGGAGACTCTAAAGAAGGCCCTGACGCCCATGAAATTTTGTTATACGAAATTTGAACGTTTATATACAGATTAAAAAAAAAATGAAATTTCATGGTTGTTAAGACCTTCTTTATAGCCTCCATATTCATATTGTAAAGTTTAAAATGATTCGGTATACCCAGGTCGGAGAAAAGTGTCACAAACGAGACACCTTTAACACCACCTTCATTTCACTTTAGGTCTATCGCTCCTAACACCAGCTACAGCCGACATCTACAAAACAACGCGCAGAGACGAGCCGACCGTAGCTGCAATGTGTACACTTTTGGTGCGAGGTTCGGTTCAGGAGTGGCATTCGAGCGCAGTCGGCCACCGTAGTGAAAAGGGTAACTTTTACCAGCTTTTCGCCCCGGCTTCGCACGGAAGCCAAGAAAGCGTTACACCGCAGCAATTTTTTTTTTTCATCGATTTGCTCCACTAAAATCGCCATTGCTCGACTCCTTCTTATCATAGATTAATGTTTCATACTGCTAAATCCTCCTAAGAGGCGCTCTAGACAATAGTGGAAACTGTATCAAAATCCATTCAGTTATTTTTGAGATTAGCCGGAACAAACGACTTTGTTTTATATTGTGTAGAGATTAATGTGGCGCCTCAATTAACAATTTGTAAAATAAATGTTTACGTACCAAGCAATGCATTTATCCCGTCAATCCAATAATCAAAAACCTGCTCATCTGGGGCAACGAAATCCAAGCTAGAAACCTCCACTGAATCCAAAGCTAGAGAGAATGCCAACTGATGAGTGGTTTTTCGTCTTTGCAAATCCTTCATGTGAGGACAGTCTCTGCCAGTGAATAATCCACGGATTTCAACCACTGCCAATTTGGTTGGCAGCTCATCGATTGTTGGTATAGATTTTTCGTCGCAATCTCCGTAGTGGAAAACTTTATGATTTGGAGATAGGCGAACGTACCAAAATTTGTCCTTGATTCGCTGCAAAAGCATTTTTTTAATAAATATCAATATGTAATGGACCGTGCCCTGTACTCTGACATTTCTTTAACGTTACATAAATCTCACCTGGCCTCTCGCACTGTACTTTGTAAATCTAGTTCCTTCGACTAAGAAACCAAGTCTTTGTTGTTGTATCAGTTCGAGAATTTCAGGAGTGATCTGTTCTCGAAGTTCAACGATTGGTCTGGCATGGCTTTCCCATTCTTCTCTACTTGTTCTTTCCTGCTGCCATAAGTTAGTGATAGTCGGATAAGTCAATTGCTGCAGTTTATTCTTAAATTTATCGAGACCAGTGGGTTTGCACTGAAGTGCCCTGGTGATTTGTTCGCGAACCACCGAAAACACCTTAACGAAGTCTTCGGTTGTTGCCCGCATCTCTTTCCAAGTTTTGTTTAGCAAAACTATGCAGACGCAGTAAAATTCTTCAAATGGGTGGTCATGCGTGAAGAACATCGGGTGATAAGACTGACCCTGTTCGCTTGGTGCTTCTCCAATTCTTAACACCTGGATCGAAAATGGAATATTATTATTTCTGTCAAATGATAATATCGTGACAATTATGTATGAACTTTCCTAAATATGAACCCACGACATCCTACGTGGCCTGCCCCCTCAACCCTTATTTATTCGTCAGTTGTCTCAAACTTTTGCCCATATCAAGAAAAAGTGTCAATGGGAAGTAAGAAACTAGAAGTATTAATATTTAATGTTGTTAACTTGCTTTTCACGGTTAAGGGGGAATGGCATATCATTATCTCTGTGTGCGTTTTCACCCCTACGAGAGCTGGAACGGGGAAGCTTCGCACCCAAAAGTATTTCTACATTATGTACTTTAAATAACTTGAATGGATGAAAGCATAGCCTTCCGAAAATATAACTTTCCCAGCGGAGCCAGATTTTTCAATTATTTGTCAGAAAAAAATATAAATAACGAGTAAAAATCCGTACTGGCAGCCCACGAATCTGTCATGGCGGTCCAGTGTGGCATACAATATTAGTGCATAAACGTCGGAAGGAAGGGGTACGCTCAGAAAGTTGTTCACTCGCCAGCATTACACTCTATCACTGGGAACTGCCATTGAATAGCTAAACTTGACATTTTTTTGGTGCGAACATACGAAGCTGTCAATGAGGACATTTCCTTCGCATAATACTTGTGCGAGTTTCCGTTACGAGCGCTAGTTGTACATCGTAACGTCATGCGCCGTAGAAGATGCGCAGTAGACGACTGGCAGAAATACCCAGCTACATGATGCTTATTAACGGGGCCCTTATAAAATTTCTAATTAGTTGCAATATGTACACGCAAAAAACTTATAAATGTCGAGTTCTTTTGTTGTATAGTACAATACATCTGTTTTCTAATAAATTTCCCAGTAACAAGGTCTTAATATCTTTACATGAAGTACGACATATTGTCATTTCTTCATAGATTTCTTTCTCGTATACATATTCTAGCCATAACTTACCTCACATAGTAATTTCACGAGCTCGACACTGGTTCTGCCAAAGGGACATTCGTGTTCATCTGCTCTGCAGGAATTTTCCAAAACGACCTTGGTGTAACTTTCCGTATGATTACGCGCAAAGTACACCATGCAATCAAGAGCAAGCATACCAGGCGGTGTTTCCGTAAAATCAAGGGCAGGATTGATGTCGTACTTGAAGCCGAGTTTCTTGTAATCCTTAGCAAACAAGCCTTGCTTTCGTGCGGTTACGTCGCCGCTAGTAGTACCTTCGGTATCGAAGGCAATCCGACGCAGTTCTTTGATCTTATCGTGAGCATCTTGATCCTGAGGATCCATCTTAGTGGTCATTCTTTGCTCCAACAAGCCGAGAACCAGGGTCTGTAGGACGTGTAACTGATGTGCCATTTCTGTACCCACCTGCAAGTAGTCAGAGAAGGCACGGTTATGTTCGTCGACAATGACAAAATACAAAGACCAATCGATTGCTCTTAATCGATCTAATGGAGATTTAATGTAAGATGATACCAAAGGAGTCTTTTCGTTGTCGCAGTTAAGGTGAAGTGAAACCCGTCGAGAAATGTGATCGACATCGGTAAAGATGTCTTCTTCTAAATATCCATGTTACCGACGAATTATATTGGGTTTTGCACTAACTTGCATACTCCATGTCATTTCCGTACAATTATTATAAAGAAATCGAAGTGAAACTCCATAGGTTCCCTGGATTCGTGGTTTTTGATGCCCTAACTGACTGCAGTGTATCACCCAGGGGTATTTGTGATTTCAGTGCCAATTAAATTTTATTCTCTAGACCTCGTGTTATCTTCGTAATAGCATATCCAGATATAGGTTTGGCCACGTTTTTAGCTAGTTACTGGCGAGTTGTTCCCAATTCTATCTAGGCGTAAACTAGGTTTATAACACACGGACAGTGAACTGTCTAATAACGACTTACCGTTTTAAAGAAAGTGCCTAGTTCGAATAGATTGATTTGAAGGAGGTTTTACTTCACCTTAATGGGCTAGAAAAACTATGCTGAAATTACCTAGAATTACTCTATACTGAATGTAGAATTGTAGAATTTGAGAAATTTAAAGAGTCGATGAAAAATTATAGAACATACGTAGGGTATAGGAATAAGATCACTTCTGAAAAATAGCACTCTTCCAAAACTTTGGAAATATCTGGTTTAACCTTCGTACAGTTAAAAATCTTACCTTTCCCGTAGACTGGATGACATTGGTCAAAAAAACATTTCTGACCTGCTTCGATTGCAAAGTAGTCGCTATAGCCCTTCGTTTAATTGGATCAGCTTTTAAAAACAGAGCGTTAATTAGGGCTATCGCATTTTGTTGAATCTGCGGACTCATACTTTGTAGATGCATTACAAGATTCTGAAACGTAACATCCTTTTCGACTTGTTCGTATTTGCCAGATGAGTTCAAAACGATGTTTTCGAGAATGCTTAACGATGCTTCGATCACATTGGAATCCTGAGTTATCGATTGATTGTTAACGTAACTGGCAACCTTGTTAATAAATGGTGTTTCCAGGATATCCCACGAAACTATCCCATGATCCATGAGCTCAACAAACGATTGCAACGAATGCGCCAACGCTACGTTCTTGTGTTTCCCACCTTCTATCTGTAAGAAATCGTATTAAAAGTAACGATTAAAAGACACAAAAATGACTCGCGACGATTTCGCTCGAAAATACACTTCGCCTTTTTCGTCCTCCTAGCTTCAAAACGTTTTGTTAAAGCCTCTTTTGTTATATGGAAACTTTTATGTCGGAAATGTCACTGTGCTGTACTACTCCCTTAGGTTTTTTTGCATTCATTTGGCTACATTGAAACTTGCAGTCCCTTTTTCAATGACTTAAGGTGATATGAAAGTGACACCTGAGAGGTCAATCGTTCGAGAAAGTGATCTCCGAATTGTTTGAAATTTTATCGCATGAATAAGGAGGCCCTAAGGTACAATAGATCCTGAAACTTGCAAAATTTCATTTTTTATATAAAATGTTGAAAATATTTATAAACAAATTTTCTTAAAATTGAACTCTCATGGGTGTAAAGACCTTTTGTATAGTCTCCATATTCACGTTGTTAAGTTCGGAACGATTCGGTACTCCCAAACAAGGAATTTTTTATGCCACTCTCGTATCACCTTAACACATTGCGCGCCAGCCCTGCGATAATGCGGGTTACAAATCACTATGTAAAAGGCGCATTATAGCGGGGCAGGCGTACAATGTGTTAAGGAGCTTAAGGAGCCGAGTCATTTACACGTTATCGACGAGAGAAGTAAAAATGACAAGTTCGACAGAAAAAAAAAGAAAAAAAGTGTCGAATGAATTTGAAAACAGTATCGTTCAAACTCATTTTGAGTCTAGAGAAAAAAGTAATTTATAGATAAGAGAGCATTATCTATAATAAACACTTATAAGAATTATTTCATTACCTGAGCAATAATCACAGCCAACCCTTGTTTATTAATGAACTCAAGTGCGAAGGTCATGTCGATACTGAGAGTGCTGAGTTTTTGAAGACCCACTACTTTTTCATCGGTATTCCCATTATTTAACTTATCTAATATATCGCTTGCTGTCTTAGATGGTGAATGTTCCAATCTGAGTACACTGCCATTTTTCACCTCATTTCGATTCTTTTCAGTTATGTAATTCTGATTGTTATTTTCCGAAAACTGAAGTGAATATAAGTCGGGATCGGACAGTCCCCAAACATTACACAATTCCTGAAACCAAGGAACAGGATTAAACTCAAACGTAAATTACACAACGCAATACTTGCATTATTCGCCGATATACTTAAGTATACATATACAAAATCATCATGAATATGTGAAATGTGATCAATAATTCAGATGTACATGAAAATACAACACGCTTAACAGACATCAGTAGATTGTATCAGCTGCAAATGCCGTACGCATCAACTGAAGTGCCAAAAAGTCCTTCAAATAGGAATGCACTCTTTGCAAATGGCATTCAAGATGGAATGAAAATGGAAAATTAAACTAATACACACGATTTCAAATGTTTTTGCATAGTTTATACAAAAATCAAAATTTGAAACCCTTTATGTACTCCTATCTATGCTTAGTATATCAACTTAAAGCAACGATATTAGAGTTGTAAAAGTTAAAATGGTTAAAGTGAAATCTGCCGAAACAGTGTTAAATAAATATACTCTACAGAGGTAAATCATATTAGGTATACCATACAATTAATTTTTTATTTCTTCATTGCCAGAGTAATTTTGCTTCATTGAAAAGGTTATCTTTCATATTTTCTCTTTTGTAGAAACCAAGGAACATCGAAAAACTTACCAATGATCTATGTAAAATCAGCTTTTCAAATTTATTCTCTGAAAAACTTTATATAATTCAACTTGGTGTAAACTGTGTTTTTAAAGAAAAAGATCTTTTGAAATTTTGAATCTGGAATAGAAAGTTATTAAAAATCCTACAGTTATTCACATTAACTTATTATAAATTGCTGCAGAAGATTAACTCACAATAGTTTATTCTATGTTTACACTATGGAAGAGAAGTGATATTGCTTATACACTTATGGTCACTAGGCATGAAATGCCACAAGACTCCGTTTCAAACTAATGTTTCAAGGCAGAATTAACATTAAGCTTCCTCAAATATTGGCTCAATTTCAACCTCCACTCGCATGAATCTTTAAGGTATTTTCCAATTTCCCATCATATTTTACAAGAAACACATTAAGAAAAAGCATACATTTGATCCAGGTTGAGCTAAACGAGACAGGAATTCGCAGATTTCACCAGTTAGTAAAAAAATACAAACTTCCTTTCACATCACCCCTGACTTATTCATTTTAGTTCAAGTTGAATTAAATTCTGGAATGATAATTTGGACAATTCATAATAATATATAATTAACAGCATATTATTGTCTTAATTTTAATTGAAATATCATTTTAGTAAATACAACTAACGAAACTTATTAAAAGTCTGTTAAAGAAAATATATCGGAATGTTCTGAATTAACAACTTTACCAGTACATTGTCTTCATTTTTTTGTCTGCCCAATCTGTGACATTAGCACTATTGTACATTGCAGTTTTTGAAAATAAATACCTGAATAATTCCAGTCAATGGCTGCTTTTGATTAAACTCAATAAGCTTTGGAACTTGGTCAGTCATTTCGACAGCGATTTTCACAATATTTGAATCCTTTTGAGCCGGCATTTTCACTGCTTGTGTATACATGAAAGTAAAGAACCTGTCAAAGCTAACCTCCCTTCCGATTCCTTTTAATACTGCCAGATACTGCCAAAGTCAGCCAAAGAGTATGTACATACCAGAATATTACCAGAGCCAACCAGAGCAGAGATGAGTTTGGAGATTGCTCACGCGCAGGGCCGCGCGATCGAATCATGTATGTACTGCCCTCTGGTTTTGTGCGTGAGCATTCACCGTTTTTACCCCCAAGGGCGGCGCAACGAATTACCGGTAGGGGCTCGCGCACTTGTGGGGACACCCTAGATGGCGCGTCGACTGCGACGACGCGCGTCTAACTTGAGAGACATTCAGTTTATGCCCCCGCCAAAAGAAGGAAGGTTACTAGTTCCCGGCGGCGCCGAGCCCGCCTATTACTGTGTGTAATCTCTGTGCAGGAATAAATATGTACAAAAGGTAAATTTGCGGTATTGCATGCCCGATCACTTGAACCCGATAAAGAACGAACTCGGACTGTGGGTGCCGGAACACAGGCCGGATACGGTTAACCCCTACACACTCGCGATGGCGGTGCCATCTACCAGTCGGCGCTGGCGGCTCACGTACTCGTGATGGTAATACCATGCGGCAGTTGACAGTGGTGGCTTACTTACGCTTACCAGCACTGCTCGCATTTGATGGTAAGGGAAGAACACTCGTGGCGCCCTTTTTGACTTTACCCTCACTTACCTCATTTATTTCATCCGCAAATAATACAGGCAAAATTACAACGTGGGTGCTCGAGAGTTGAGTTATACTATAGATACAATTTTTACGAGCTACGGAAATTAATAAAAAAATTATGAATGTTCCGTAGGGACACATAAAACCTAGATGGAAGGAGGTACCCAACAGCATAGTTCGACGTAGTCGGTATGACGTCAGGTGTAACGTACGTGTCGCAAGATCAAATCCTGACGTAGGGGAAGGGTGGGTACGGTTTTTTACGTAAATTTTTTTCGGCACATTTTACAGTTGATAGCAATCGCACGAAACACATTACACTTATGTAATTTTTTTATTATGAGTTCAGCTTTTCATTATTTCTTTCACCGTCCATAAGGTGACTTTAATAAGTAATGTGAAATTAATTAAAATCGTACCGTAAGATAACAGTATCAATCTTTTTTATCGTTAGTATTATTATTTAGTCGCTCATGTTGCTACCGTTATCTCATTCATTGCAAAAATTTAAATTATAATAATCATTTTAAGAATGAATTAAAGAGCTCGGATGATAAAATCCTTCAATTGAAATATTTGTCCCCTACATTGGTAATTTTATTGCAAAACATTTGTCCTGAAATATTCCGGCTCACGGTCAAACGATGGTAATTAGCAAAACTTCAATACATCGGTAAACACCGAATACGCGAGTCGTGAACGACGTGGTTCGCACGAGTCAGCGAAAGATGAAAACAATGAGTTTAAAGTACATTGTTGTTTCGAAGCGGCGAGCGCGGAGCATCGGGCACGCGCTGATGTCACGTACGGAACTCCATGCAGCGAATCTGTATAAGTGCGATCGCTCCTAAAAATCGTGCGCGCGCACGCACTCACATGGCGTCGCGCATAAGTATATAACGTATGTTAGTGTATATTAGGCGCGAAACTCTACCAAGTTTCCTGATATATGTACTTACATATGTATGGATAAATTGCATAAAATGTATACAAATTTCATTTTTGTGTTTTCTTTTGCATTTCTTTTTTTGTTTCAAGCATGCCGTGAGACTTGAAAACGTTCCAAGGTTCAAAGAACACCGTTAAAAGCATTCTTATTGGGCGCCTATCTCCTGTTCTAGGCTCAAATCGCTCGTTCGTTAAGCAAATAACCATGGCCTTTGGTCCCACCTCCGTTTCTACTTTAAAATATAATCGCTCCCCACCATTCGTATTAACACTTCTTCCCTGATAATTGTCGAAGGTGATATTTTCTTGAATAAAACGATGCATTGTCATCTGAATTTCAACTAATGCCACTTGTAGATCTAAAACAAACAAAAATTGCAATTTTGTTAAACATGTTGCCAGTTTGATGTCTAACGTATTATAAAACACGAAACTTATCGTTAGTATGCGTACCATTATATGTTTCACGATTCAGTCGTCTTCTAGCTTGTAAAAATGCATTTCGAGCTTCTGCAGCATCGAATTCGTTATTCGCGGATGCAACGTCGTTAATTTCGGCCATAAGTGGAGACAAACGATCAATTACTCGACTGAGATCAGAGGGAATAACTTGTGCCCACTCATTTATATGACGAATGAAACTGTGATACAAGCCTCCATGACAGCTGTTTAATTGAGTTACTGCCTGAAAAGAAAAAGAAAGTCCGCTGAAGTAACTTTTTCTAATTACTTTTCTCTGGTTCTTACAAATTAGGCTCGAATAGAATTCTATGTTAATAAGAGCTTTCTTTTTACCGTGTACGGAAATTCTTTTGGCATAATCAAAGCCAACCATGACCAACTTATCAATTGGCTTACGCATTCCTTTAAATTATTATTTGGTTCACGATTTGGGTCACGATTTGGATCTCCATTAGTACTTTCTAGCAAATCGGATAATGTTTCGGGCGAAATAAATTTTACGTCCTTGTATGCTTGAGAAATACTTCTCTCTGGTGTTTGTTTGTCACGTTCGTACATTCTTTTTTGCGCTTCTTTTCTATTATTCTCAGTGATAATGACCTCCACGTATGAATCATGGTATAATGCATCCTCTGGCCTAAAAGCAATATTTTGGCACAGGCTATAACAATTTTCTGCCATACAGTGATGTGAAGTTAAATTTAAATGAATCAGCCCCACCTTTCCCTCACTGTTCAAGCATCGAGCTCGGTGAATCCTTATATCACTAGATAAGGATAAAAGGTGAATACACAGAAAAGCAGGAAGACAGACGCATGTCAAAGGGATGCCGCTAGTGAAACAAATGGACATGCATAAAAGAAAACTTCATTTTCAATCATTTTCGTCTTATCTTTATGACGACAATACCAATGGATTGTTGAGATTCTTACGATTAAAATGAGTCCAAACGCGACATTAATCAGTTTAATTTTACTTAAATTTCCTATTAGTGATTGACATAGTCAGTTTAATTGATTACTGATGAAACTAGTCCGATTTACGTCGTGTTTGGACTCATTCTAATCGGGAGAATCTTAACAATCCATTGGTACTATGTCTTGATACAATTAAGACAACAAGTTGTGAAAATTACGTTTTCTGTATTGCAGGATCATCTGTTTCATATGTGACATCCCTTTGAAGTGCTATATCTCGACCGTCACCGTCGACGTATACCGTCTATCTACCTTCCTCCTGTTATATTTATTCGTTTACGTAGTCTAGCTGTGCTTGAATCAATTCTTCGAAAAAAAAAACAGCTCTACCCTGCACGTGAGAATTTAACTGCTGACTCCCGAATTTTGTTAAATTTGTAAAAATGGGCATTACTGTAATTTTGATTCCAAGGGGAATGATTTCGTAGAATTAGTTTTGAAGTTAATGAAATTCTCAAAATTACTCTTTTTCTATGAATAAGTAAAAATATGTACATCGAACCGTTTCTACAGAGAATAATTTAAGGGACAAGAGTAAATTATTTGAAATGTATACAAACCCTACAACTACAGGAATTGCAACATTCGAAGTGGATGCCTCGGAAACAACTGTTCCGGACTTTGCATCATCCCAGAAGTGTGGCGTACCATATTTAATTGTATTTATTTTCGAAGTTAAAGCATTTGCTTCACGTCCAAGTTGCAATGCTTCACCGGAAGTACCAGCCGCATCGATCCGATCTAATTTAGCTGCTCTAAGAGATTCTAAATGATTCAGCTGTATCTTATTCGCAATTTGTCCCCCCGAATAGCCAGCCAAACCATCACCCACTGGAATAGCGAGCGCATCAATAAATGCGCCCGCTGAAGGATTGTCAGCAGCATTTTTAAGCGCTGCAATATACCCTTGATCTTCACCAGATATAGCGCTTGCTGTAGCATCATAGCCAACACCAGCTGCTATTCCGGCGGGAATAGCGCCAATTCCTACAATTTCTTCCACACTTTTATCGATGTAGCTGTCAAATTTCTTAACATGTAACACGTATGCAGGGTTCTTTCGTTTATCTTGTCCGTTGTAATATCTTTGCTGCCTTAGCAGTTACAAAAAAATATACAAGGGAAAAGTTGTTTGTTTATCACGGCGAATATTGCGATTCATGTTTTCTTTTTCCAACTTTTTTTTCTAAATAATAAAAATTTCTGGTAAAAATGAAAAGGTGTTGAATTCCTTAGTTCCCTTCAAATTATCATGAATTTTCCACTCAAGGTCACTTTAAGGACACCATATTTTCATGTTTGAAATGCATTTTTTTATCAGCTATAACGACTTGATAATAAAATGCCGTTTTATTCAAACAAATTTCGATGACCTTGAAAATGAAAAAAAAAAAGATGACCGCTGAAGAAAAAACATCCAACATTCGCCGTGGTAAATCAAATAACTTTTTTTATCTCCTAAGGCAGCGAAGATATTAAAGTGGACAAGATACACGAAACACCCTCCATGTATGTAATTTTGATGATTTCACGTTAAGGACCTCCTGTTGCTATGCAAGCAGCAGCACCACTTGAGATAACGACTGTAGATCGAGTTGCTGCATTGAACGCCTGGTTGCCGCCTTCAGGATCTCCGACAGCGTGATGGATAATGCCTAAAGAAACAAAAGCATTTCACTTCAATGTCGGTTGAAACATAATTTTAATGAACTATGGATCGCTCATTCCGCGCTACACGACACCAGCGTAGGCGAAAAATGAAAGAGAAAACCGAAGTCTGTGGGATGGGGGGGAATATTCGAGACCACATGATGTATGCGGTAATTATTTTCAGAAAAAGGGGCTAAAAGACGAAAGGAGCATCCCGAGCAACGCAACTCGGGAGCTCGAAAAAAAACGGGAACTAAATAAATGCGTCAGAACCCTAAACATGAAAGAAATGAGTAGATTTGTTAAATAATCTCAATAATTATATGATCGCCCCCCCCCCCCCCCCCCCCCCCCTCCGAATTGGTGACCATTAGACTCGGACGAGAATTTAAGGGCGACATTCGTCTGTTTTGTCATGATAAAGACTTGGGACGGGCGGCCTAAAATCCATACGTTACAACATATTATAACCGCCGCTCGATCTTACTTTCCGAGATATTCGCGAAAAACTGCTGCTACTACTACGTTAAATTTTGCCTATACGTGCACGTCCATGCATGTACACAATGGGTCGAACTTGTCAAAATTGTTCCTATTTTTATATTTATATTTTTTGGTATACTTTTCATATTTTTATATTTTCTATTTATGGTTTATATTTTTATTTTAATCTTTAAAAAAAACATAACATCCCTCAGGCGGCAGAAAATAAACCTAAACAAGACTCCCATCGTTTGTCTTTAGTTTGAGTTTCCCATTTTTTCAAACGTGGGTGTAGAAACAAACGATGGGTTGAGTTTAAGTTTGCTTCAAGTTGGTGCTCTGCCGCCGTGGGGATATATATATTAGGGTGTATCGAAAAAAACAAACTTTTCTTCTTCGACTCTTTGCCCCATTAAACTATAGTCTATGACCTAAGACTATTCCACGTAAAATTCTAAGAGGTGCCGACATTTCGATTTCCCATTTAATCACCACATACAACAATACATTAATTAAATGCGCGTCGCAATCGTAAACGTACTATATTTTCGGAGATCTCATGTAGTTTCCCTTGGTGTTTGATACATTCTGAAGAGAAAAGGTGCTTGCACATTTTTCGCTCGAGTAAATAGTATCCAAATTATCAGTCGTACAACGTCATGGTGTAACGTTTAGTTATAAGTCGTATAGTTTAATAAATCGCAGATTGTCAAAAGAATTTTTCTTTAAATTAATTTCTCTGCTGGCTGATAAAAATATTTCATATCCATTTCACTTTCTCCTCCGATATCGGGTCGATGTCTCATTGTTAGCATTTTTATTTAGCTCGTGCAAAGGTCGCATCATATCTCCGATATTTGCTCGCTGGGGTACTCACAGCTCTGTCGTTTTTCATTGATACGGACCTATCGAAGGTCAAATCTAGTATGACATTGGCTATAAGGCAACGAGATGGTACAAACTAGGGATGCGCGCGAGCTTACTTTCAGCCGGCTCGATTCGAGCTCGTAGTGCTCGGCAACTCGAGCCGATTTTAGCATCGAACCCTCGAGTCGTTCGAGCCGGTTAACCGTTCGGCCCACAGTAAAGTACCGACTGCAAACATAAGAGATCTATGTATTTAAAATGGAGAACTTCAGCCCCCGTGATCAAGAAGTAAACATTTTCATAAAAATGTCAACAAATTACAGGGTTACTTTTGAAGTATTTCGAACCGATTTGGGGGGCGTCACGGGTTCAATTCGCTTTGACCCCAAATAACGACCACCGTAATGTATATTTTTATATATTATAAAAATATTAAAATTAAAATATGAGGAACTTTTTCGACAAGTTCGTGTTTTAGGAACACTAAGATCCGAACTCGTTCTGGATTTAATTTATTGGAATTAATTTCCTTTTTTAACGACTATAATGCCCGATGTACTGGAAAATCTTTCTATCGGTTTAACATATTTTTCTTCCCTGGGTTTCGACAGTTTCGAATCATGAAAGAAGTGCAAAGTTTCGGGTTCCCGATTTCCACGTTTCGAGGAACCCATCCCTGTTTTTAACCGATTTCAGTATGACTCACCTTTTGCATGGCCAATGACAGGAATACCATTTGCGACATTGTTTACGGTACCCAAGCATATTTTCTGAGTTTCTAATGCACCTTCCGCATCTCCTGCAGCAAGCTGTACTACGGAAGTTACTTGCGAAACTCCCGGGCATTCCCTACAAAAATTCTCCATGGTTTTCATGGCACCCTCGGTATCACCGGTAACCGCTTGAGCCAAGGCCTTCACCTGCGATACACCCGGTATCCAATCTATGCCAGGCATTTTTCAAACTGGAAATCGTTAATAACAATTACCATTTTATTTATCGGCATTCTTTTGAAAGGCTTAAACGAAAGAAAAAAAAAATAGCACAAAGAACAAACCAGTTCGGGAAAAATTTTTCTGGAAATGATATGAAACTCGGTTTCTATCTTATCAATCACTCGTGGATCACTTTCATACTAGCTATGCACATATGTGACTGACTGCCAAACTGGCTGGAGCCTAAAGCGTTCCTCCAAGTTCCTCCTTATCTTACTAAAAATAGAGCGTTACCAATCATCCCTTCTACTGCCACTCCGTCTACATGTACGTGATTTGCGTAGAGAGAGATTCAAACATTCCAGAAGTAACAGCGTTGCCAGATATCGGACCTACATGACGTCACATAGTAGTAGAGGGGGACTAAATGAGAGTGTTTTTACTACTGTGTATGTATGTATGTACCACTAATCTGCAGCGAGCCGCCAGGCGATCGAGTCTGGTGAGAACCAATCCCTCAAATGATTCGTTGTTCCCCGTTGCTGCCTAGCGACCAAAAATTCGAACCTGAGCATCTGGAATTTGTAACAGGGTGTTAAACTCTTTTATCGTCGCACAAGTGAAACTCACCGAATTGTTAAACGTTCAACAATCAATTTAATTTACACATTTTTATACACTGTATTAAATCGTTTTACAATACTTAATCGACGATTACGGTCAACTTTTGTGATAGAATTAATACGATGTAATATACATTTAATAACTGGGTTTAGTGCATTTTTAGTTATTTCTTTTCGCGACGGTGAAAACTACAACGAACCGAGGTTTTCAGACCAGACATTTTTCTGCGATTCACCGTTCGACGCCGTGACTCGAGGAGACCCGATTTTCTTCACAGAGAGGTATGTAAAGATATTTCCACACGTGTGATTTAATTACTGGGTCTGGAAGAAACCCTTACGTCTAGACTTGCTACACAATATATTTTCTATCTACGCAGGAATCTTTCAAAGAGGGACTCGATACTTATTCTGGACCTCTTTATCAACAACTTTACTGTTCTGGCATTCGCCCATGCCCTCGGGGAAACCAGGATTTAAAAACCCGAGGTAAAACAGGGTCTGAAACGATATTATTACATTTCGTAATAAAATATATGCATACAAAATATGCGGATAATGTAAAATATTTAATGTAATTAGCTTGTGTAAAAAATTGCCGATGCTCTTTGCTTTTTCCAAAGTTAAATATTCGCGGCATAGATGGCGAACGTGTGCCGCGCATGTCACGCACCAATCGAATTCACTGTAAACGCAATCTATATACCTATATGTGACGTCTTGCAGGCTTACTTCTGGAAACTCTGCTGGTTCCCGTGGCCGTTTAATTCCATGATCTAGATCAATCGCAGCCGGATGTTCTTTCAATAAAAAGACTTGCTGGATAACAACACTATCTCCTGTTCCATCCGGTATAAGAATATTGACAAGGTATAGGCTCTTTTTCATAGTGTTACACATTGTTATTCGATACGTCTGTCGATATAAGAAATTAATTTATAACGTTACTTTATACTATTTTATCAGCGTGACATTCGATGAAATTTTGTAATCCCCTCTCAGGCTACCTTCCGCGCGTAACGTGCCCCAACCAATTATATTGTCTGATTCAATTGTCGTCTTCTGACTAAAGTCCTGTCCGAATTCATCAAAAGTTACATCGAGTGTATACTAGCTCCGTACTAAGTCTGCCCACTGTTACTTATGTGCATGCGTCAAAAGTGGCCGAAGGAAAGTTGCAACGATGTAACTTTCTCGGAACTTTTTCCGCCATCTTGGAACTCCGATCAATTGTCCGATTTCTCTAGATTTTGTCAATCGTGACAATATTAACGATCGTTTATTTTTACACGTAATTACATTTATCGCCTTTTCAAATGAACGTGGTGCAATATAGTAACTGATTGAGACACATATTTGATTGATTGTCTTCGACCAATATTGTGCCTGAGAAAACAATATCTGTCGTGAGTTAACAACGCGCATTCTCAAAAATAATGACAAATTATCCCTTTTACTGCCGGACAACGATATATCGTCGTTTTACAAATGCTAACGACTTTGGCCGGCACTAAAAGGGTTAAGTAAGCGGGGTGTTAATTAATTTTGTACAGCATATTCCAATGTTACGTGAAATAACTAGGCTTGAAGTAACTAATTATATGACGTCAACACAGATATAACGATGACAATTTCAATAGGAATCAGAATTCATTTACAATCGGCGCGTTTTAGTCGCTGCTCTTTTGTGCATGTACATAGTATGCATAGAAGAACTGTTCGAGTCCCAAGTATTTAGTACATTGTGTAGTATGTAGTATATGTTACGTACTACACCGAATTCGGGCACGGCTTGAGACGATGCTGCTGGTCGACGCAAGTTACGCGTACAGTGGCGTACGGAAAGTACGCTCCATGTGAAGGCAGCCTCACAAGTATAAATAAAATTATGAAGTTTACCCTTACAGGATTATGTCATCCGAAGCTGAAATTAAAAATTCAAGCCAAGAAGAGAAATTACCTCCGGAGTGCTATCGAGAAGATGCTCTTTATTATGATTGTTATCGAGGAGAAGATGAAGAAGGTCCGTATCAGACACACGAGCAAAAACTCCAAAAACTCGAACAATTGGACAATAAAGGATACTGCCCGCGGAGAATTGAAGAGGTGTATCCTAACATTGAAATAACAACTCGAGAAACATTGGAAGAACAAATCAAACGATTTGAACAATTAAAAAAGCAAGTGGAATATAAAGAATACTGCGAATCGGATAAACCTTTGAATGATACTAAGAAACAACGAGAAGAAAATAAGGATGGACCAGACAAATAAATTTCTTTAAATCATCAATATGTATGAAAACTTAACAAATTTGTTTTTTTTACACTTTGGTAAAAATTGGCCTTGTTAGTTTATTGCTTTTATTTAATATCTAATAAAAATAGAAGTTCAATATAGAACAATGTCAGATTCGTTACCATAATCAATATTTAGATTCTCTTGTATATACTTTCTGGGATTAAACATTTTAATTTTGATTTTAAGATATGTGCGTTAAAAATAATATAAAAGATAATGCGTTTTAATCGCCTCACTATTTATAAGTCGCTTCGTCAGAAAATTTTAAACATCCACGCTGTCGAAAGAAGTTATCCTAATAAGAGAGCTAGTAGCACAAAATATTTCTCTTATATTTTCCATATATTTAACGAATATCGTACATCTTGTAAATATTTCGCAGACATTTGAAATATTTACAAAACATTTACTTTAGA